GGACCCCTGTTACCGGTCCACAAAATGTAGAGAGTGATTGACCACACCATGGACCATGCACTGCTGGAAGAGTAATAATGACATCGCTGTATGCTCGCCACTGATCCGAGTGTATGGTTGTTCCTGGGGCTGTGTGGGCTTGGATAATGGGGAGAAGAGTGTTGGCATCACGCGATGGAACAACCTCCATATACCCAAGACCTGGTTCTTCGGATGTATCTACCATTCCAAATACCCATATTTGATGGTGAGGAGGACGTCCACGATGGTGCTGCAAATGCCAAATGACATTGCTCAAAGTATGTGCCAAAAATAACAACTCACCTTTGGTTTATGGCGAAATAGGGATTCATCTATTTCTACTATAACACCAAGCACTATCGGAGTGTTGAGGAGGGTGGTTGTGCACACTTCCCGAAACCACTGATAGACATCAATGGCTGTACTTTTACTAATATCTGCATCAAGTGCAGCAGTGGTTACAGAGAACTGGCGCAGCCAAAAGTGCATCAAAAGAAGCCACTTCTTCAGTGGAAGCCGCGACTTGGTGAAGAAACTGCCATGACGTATTGATTTCCTGCCTTTACATTGTGGGCACCACCAAGACCTGCCATCTGTGACGTAATTTCTCGGATGCTCTTGCATTCTCACAGAGCATCTGAGTTACATTTATATATTATTTTATGTAAAATAATATGCTGTGTACCTCTGGCAGTCAGCATTACGTGCAAGTAGGCCATGTCTGCGCATGAAATCAATTATTCCATCGACCCCTCCAAAGACTATCTCTCCAAAATGTATCAGTGACAGTGCCATCTTGCCACAGATACACTCGGCAGGCTTGATGCTCGACGGAGGCTAGCTTAGCTGAGTCCTTGCCGCTCAAAAAAACCTACGCATGCGTTTGCTTGCCATCTATGTTGCGAAACACTGCAGCTTCCCTTCGTCGCGCGATAGCGCCAGAGTCACGTATGACCACACCCCTTTCATTTAGTACGCGGTGCCGTCCTTTATACTTGATCCAAGCCCTATATTGTCACCATGCTTACTCCATGACATGAGTTTTGAACAAGACTTGCAAACGAATTCTGTAGGGAAAGCAGCATTGTAAAACTTGTTACTTGAGCGAACTAGAAGTAAATACAGCCACGATTCTAAACTGAGGACCTGTCAGAGAGGGCATTTGCTACCAGTCTTACGTGCATAGGAAACGAGTCATAGCCACCGTAGAGATCACTCGTTGACGCGTCGTCCACGCGCACGCGCAGACCCCCTGCTCGCAGTACAGTACCGTACCGTCACGCGCACAACCAGAAAAAGAAGGCGGAGTCGCTGCCGCGTGTCCTCGGCGTGCCATACGGCCGCTTCGCACTGCATTTTCTGGGGCTCTGAGCCAGTCTCCATCCAGTCATCGTTAGAAGCGCTCCGCCATACGAACGAACAGGAAGGCCAGAGCGCTCAACGTGAAGCACTCACTCTAAAACAGTTAGACGCGGTAACCACGCGCTGGTATATAGAAAGCCGAGAGCCCCGGCATTGTGGCGCCCCGAGCGTAGTTACACTGACCGCGTAAACAAATAATTATGACGTAACCACAGTGACGAAAGAATTACGTTTTTGATTGGTACTGCCGCTGACCCTTCCCGATTTTTGAGGAGTCTGTGCATTCTTCTTTAGGCCAGTGCTATTCGCACGTTACTTTGCGGATGGATCATGATCGGAGCGGGACCTCGTCTAGGATACTTGCTACCCGGATGGTGGATCTTGATCGGCGCACCGCGCCGGACCTCGTCTAGGGCTAGGGCATCGATTGGTTGCCCTATCCCTAGACGCGGTCCGGGTCCGGCTCCGGCCATGATCCATCCGGGCGGCAAGCATCCTTGAGGTCGGGTCCTATATAGGTGAATGTGACAAAAGAATGCAGGTAGTACACAGTCTCCACTATGACCCCATGCGGGAGTCCATACCTGACCTTTGTTGCGACTTCTTCATACAGATCAACCTTTGCTTGAGTAATGTGTCAAATTTGCTTGATTTGGAGTAATTTTGCTTGAAAATGCTGTGTCCATTCAAAATGTATAGGCATGGCGTTGCGGTGTTAGTGTAGAACCTGTTCCATGTTCAGGCATGTCAGTTACATTTACATGGAACAGGATATGTAAGAACGTTTTGGCTCCCAACACTAACACCACAGAACGTGAATGTATGCGTGACTTCTTTAATGCCCTCTCCCATAGAAATGTATGGGACCTGAAGTCATGATTAATAATGCATTAAAAAGGCCTAAGAAATCCTTTAAAATATTTTTTGTTCTTTGGCGTAGTACAATTCAACCCACGAAGTTGAAAAAAGAAAAAATACCTACACACCATACCCGAATGAAAATACCATGCCCAAATGAAAAGACCATACCTGAATGAAAAGACCATACAAGTAAATAAAAAATTCTGCGAATTAAAAAAGTGTGGAATATAGGGATGCCATAAAAAGCAAGGAGACAAGACAGGGATGACCTGGGCATGTGATGCAGTAGTACAATGGGATAATCGTTACATCTTATAACTGACATTTCTTGCTCATGTAAATTTTAATCCACACAAGCCCTATATCGTTGCCACTCTTACTCATGACATGAGTTTTGAATAGTGTAGTGTGAAGACTGACAAACAATTTTGTAGGGAAAGCAGCATTGTAAAACCGGTTAGTTGGGCGAACATTGAAGTAAAGACGGACACGATTCAAAACTGAGGACCTGTCAGAGAAGGCATTTGCTACCAGTCTTACGTGCATAGGAAACTGCACATCATACGATAGAGATCACTCGTGCTTTGTGACAATATAGGGCTTATGTGGATTAAAATTTACATGAGCAAGAAATGTCAGTTAGAAGATGTAACAATCATCCCATTGTACTACTGCCCAGGTCATCCCTGTCTTGTCTCCTTGCTTTTTATGGCATCCCTATATTCCACACTTAAAAGTAACATGTATTTATTCCCTCGGACTCTTAGTCGTCATCTACATGTTTATTTCACTTCCAAAGTAGATAATTGCCTGAGGCTGTTTGTTGTTATTCACAAACTTGTAATTCATGTTTCAATGAACTCTTGTCAATGTAGCTACCACGTTTCATTGTTAGAGGACCCACAATAAGCAAGTTACAGGCACAAACATCATTTACAAGTATTTATTGCCTGAGAGCTATTTGTTGTTGTTTACAAACTTGTAATTTATGTTTCGATGAACTTTCATCTTCGTAAATCAGTGTACCAAGTTTCGTCGTTAGAGGACCAACAATAAGCAAGTTACAGGCACAAACATCATTTACAAGTATTTATGGCCTGAGGCTATTTGTTGTTATGTTTCGATGAACTTTCATCGTTATAAATCAGTGTACCAAGTTTCGTTGTTAGAGGACCCACAATGAGCAAGTTACAGGCACAAACATCATTTTATTGCCTGAGGCTGTTTGTTGTTGTTTACAAACTTGTAATTTCTATTTCGATGAACTCTCACCATGGTACATCAGTGTACCAAGTTTCATTGTTAGAGGACCCACTATAAGCAAGTTATAGGCACAAACATCAGTTACAAGTATTCATTGCCTGAGGCTGTTTGTTGTTGTGTAATTTCTGTTTCGATGAACTCTTATCATGGAACATCAGTGTACCACTTTTCATTGTTAGAGGACCCACCATAAGCAAGTTATAGGCAATAATATAGTTTACATGTTTTTATTGCCTGAGGCTGTTTGTTGTTGTTTACAAACTTGTAGTTTCTGTTTCGATGAACTCTCATAATGGTACATCAGTGTACCAAGTTTCATTGTTAGAGGACCCACCATAAGCAAGTTATAGGCACAAACACATTTTACAAGTTTTTATTGCCTGAGGCTGTTTGTTGCTGTGTACAAACTTGTAATGTTGATACTAATGATGGGTTGCATGTGTACAAAGGTTTATCACTCTGGGTATTAGGTTTACCCAGTTTGCACACTTTATTTGTCTCTATAATAATGTATTGCCTGGGGCTATTTGTCGTTGTTTACATGTAAACAAAATTGTTTACGAAGAAATAAAAATGCTCTTGCACGACCTGTCATGGATTCCAATCTTTGTGCAAAGTTTGATCTCCATATCTTACCTGGTTTTTGAGATACACTTGTTGAAACTTGTTGCAACAACAACAACAAGAAGAAGAAAATTGAAACGAGACTTTTTTGAATAAATCAAGTACTGATTGTGCGATATAAGCTCTTTCTTGGATACATGCTCTTCGTGACGATTCAAATTAGTCTGATGTGTCAAAAGTTGGATCTGATTGTAATAGAAAGTGAAACATGAAAATCTCAATGTATGGGCATAATGCAGGACAACCTGTGTCATCCCTATATACTAAGTACTACCGTACTTAGTGATACGAATGAAAAGAAGACGACCATGCCCAAATGAAAAGACCATACCCAAATGAAAAGATCACATACCCTAATTGAGCGACTGCACCACTGTGTAATGTTGACATTGATCTCCCCCCATATAGCGCTGAGTGCTTTTAGCAAGTACTCGATAAATATCGTGCCTCTAAAAATACCACAACCACCTCCACCAGACACTTGCAAACTAGAAACTAAACACTGAGCAATGTGAGGCTTCCGAAATGCAGCGTTGTAAATGTAGTCTCTTTCTTCCCTCTCAAGACAGCTGTCCTGCTACAACATCCAGCATGAAACTCTGCAGTGTGCATACAATATTAACGTGGCTGATAGATCTGAAGTCACGCACTAAACAACCTCCAAATTTCTTCTTACTAGTAGGGCGTTTTTGGCAAGCGTGAGCAAGGTGTGTAGCTGGCTAAGACGCGAAGACGTTTGTTGACAGCAGCAATTTCATTTTTGCTGCACTGTTGTACTGTCTGACTCCTGTTTTGTTCGTCAGATTTTTTCTAATTTTGTGCGTGTGTGTTTAAAAAGTCTCTTCTATACATAATTGTCTTTGGCGTGTACACTCACGTCCATCCATCTAATGTTAGTCGCTCAGAAAATTCATATAAACTATAATGTTGTAACAACTGAGCATGGTTATACTATGATAGAAGAATAGTTGTGTTGAGTGCATAATACGTAAAACACATTGTTGCCTGCTACAAAAATTCTATGCAACTCCATTTGATGGTGACTGAGTTGCTGGGTCAACATCAGAGGTGTGACCATTGGTATCACAGGGGATAACCACTTTTAGTGGTGACTGTTCCAGACTTTGGAGTAGTGATGTGATGTGGTCATTTGGAATGGTCATAACTGAAGGGAATTTTGACACTGTCACTATCTTTGGTGCTGGTGACTTAGCAGAGTGTGGAGAGCCATTGGGAATGGAAACTCCAGGGCTAGCACTGCCATGGACAGGGCTTACAGGGCCCATGGATTTGACCAGAGGTGACATTGGAGTTGTCTGGACACCAAGCTGGTTCGCACACAGAGATGCAGTGGGTTGCAAACTTGAAACCATCTGACCTGACTTCGCTCCTTTTAGTGCCTCATTAACGAGGGCAGTAACAGCTTGAGGAGATGCTAGGTTAATGAGGGAGCTTCGTGCATTCTGTCCTGGCGAATTCGCAACACCAATTGGACTGGCTGCAACGGCAGCTTTTAACTGATTAAATGCTGCAGCAAGGGCAAGAGGAGAAGCTTGAGAATGAAGAAGTGGGGAAAGTGGGGATGGACTGTCAAAAACGGCGGCGTTGGTAGGAGTGGAAGTCAAATGCACGCTGTTAGAAATAGAGCTTGGAGTGTTAGGGCATGAACTGGATGCTATGACTTTCTTCCCTTTTGCAATATCTGCAATGATAAAAAAAACCAGTAACAGGTACATTCTTCAGTTAAGCATGCAGCACATACCATAGTCTATTAAAGTGCAAAACCCTCGGAACGCTACAAATGTCGAACCCTTGCACATGCTTAGAATTGCTAATTGATGGGCTGGGCTGTTCAGGTTGTCGATTTACTCGTAGTCTGTCGCCAGTATCTTGCGGAGAGACTTACACGGGACTTGATAGACCAAATTTGAGGCGGGAGAGATCTCTACTCCAAGTTAAAAGAGAGTCTTTACAAATGGGCATTGAGATTACTTTGGCCATTGCTCAGTGCAAGGTAATGTACATTTGTGGTAGTTCATGAGCACACCCTTATGAATCCTACAAGGTTTCTACAGTGGAACCACTCACAGGACTAAGCAAAACCACCTGTTTTCCACATTCTTGGTTAATCAGATTTATGTTCAACCAGCCCCTGGAAGTGATTGTGTGACCTATTTATAAAAGCACAACATACTTTACTTATGGGACATGCAGCTAACTTTTGACTGACTGAAAGGTTTCATGGTTGGTGAGGTATCATCAGATAACGGGAAAATTGTGAAGATTCAAATGGTGTTAACATTACAATGGGACAGTTATGACTATTTTTTGAGGGCTCAGGTGAAGTTAAATATACATGGGGTTTGAGAAAACACAGATCAGCAAAGCAGGAAATACATCTAACTACTAATACTTGAAATAAGGGGGTAATAGCCAGCCCCTTCCTGTGTGTTCATGTACACAAGAATGTAGGAAGGCTCTGTACACTAGCGTGGACCACGGAATTCAATTACGAAAGTTATTGTGGTTGAATGTTGCGTAGTAAATCATAAGAGTGAATTGACTGACAGACGTGGTTGCAGTGAGAAAGGACTGCCTTAAGTTATTACAAACTAGAGTAAAAAATGTTTCCAATTTTGATCCGTTTCTTTCTGCTTGCCATTCACTATCGTTTCGGTTCCGTTCCATTGTAGCTCGTGTTGAATTCCGCATGACACGCCTACCGCAAACGCGGTAGAGAAATCGCTAGCTAGGGAGCGAAACAAGGCTTTTTCTTAGCGCAAACACGAAGCAACAAGAAGGCAGAGGTCTCAGAATAAAAATTCTTAAGGTGAGACCTTCGAAAGACGGCCCTCACAACAACGCATGTACAGAACGCAACGAAACAGAACAAATTGCAACGTTAAATGAACAGAAGCACAACGAAACAGAATGTAACGAAATAGGAAACACCCCTACAGTACTCTTCCAGGGAGCTATTACCTTAACCACCTCAATTCCAGTTAATTTGGACTGCTCACTAACATGCTAATGAAGCAATTGCTGTCAAACACCTTGGGCCAAAAAAATGCAATAGTGTATACACATGTGCTTGACTCTCCATCCCTCTATTGTGCACATACATACCCACTCAAGGAAAGGGCTGGGAACCAGACACAGGGGTACCTGACCACATTGTGGATACGTCATGGTTCGAATGGTACAAGGCCAAGGATTTGTTTTTAATTTTTAGGCCTTGTTTTGATACCAAGAATTAATAATCATACTTTTAAGTCCCATACATTTCTGTGGGAGTGGAAAGTGTGCTTTGAAGTATGGCTGCAACGCCTGTGTGCAATTGCGAGAACATGGAAGACATACATGGAATTTTGCTATTGTTGTCAAAAGGTATACCTGATTAGAAAGGAAGTGCGCCATGTTATACTCTAGTACGCAACAAGTTGTTTAGTAAAATGTCAGTACATAGTTGTTAATTTTGATGAACTTTAATTATGGCAAAGCAGTATTGTCATTGTACGAGGCCCCAGTATAAGAAAGTCATAAACACAACACCATTTACGAGCCTAATGCTGTTTGTCGCTCATAAACTTTAATTGTTGAGTACAAAGTTTTATTATTCTACATATTGGTATGAGCTACTTCATTGTTATGGGCTTGTAACTGTTGTTTACATGCAAACAACAAATTTCTTGCATGACCTTCAATAGATTCCTTCATGTAGTTTCCATCTTTTGTACCATACTTGTACCTGGTGTTTCATTTGACATACGGACAATTATATAAGAAGATTGAAACTAAAAGTGAAAGCTGAATTACACAAAAGTAGTGGCATGATGCTGGTTGACATGTTTCATTCATAGAGAAAGGTGAGATATTCCGTGCTGCCAGTTAAACTTGTGAATTAAAGGTGTTCTGACATGGGCCACCCACACAACAACATATTATTTTTACTGCATACGCGTAACTTTTAATGAAGGTCAAATGTGGTATGCACCTCGCCTGTTACATGCGGCTTTTTTTGCGTGGAAACAACTGAAGGCCAGTTCGTGAACGAAAGAGTCTTGCCCATGACTCCTTGTAGCCTGGCCCTTGTAAGGCAAGTCAATAGGCGCATGTTGTTGTGGGCATGAAAACACAGGAATTTGAAAGATATTTGACCAATGACATTGGATTATTGAACCGTGGCCCGATCATCGCTTTCGCATGGGCTGCTCATGTCGGACAATAGCCCATATGTTCTAAACCACAAGTAAGGTCAATACGGATGTTGTGTGTTTAGCTTGGATTTGACTCACTGTTTGCATTACATGGTATTGCGACTGTATGGAAAGGTCCAGGAACAGTGTCTACATCCCTATATCCACATTCCCGGTGTGAACTCAATGGTAAGGTAAATGCAGTCTTTGCCGCCTTGTGAACCATACACCATTATGACAAAGATGATACACTACAACACATACACTAACCATCAACAGTAGATTCGAAACCTTTTGGTAGCATACTCTTTGCTACATTAAGGTCATCAGCAGTCCACTGTCCAGAGTGTAAGCCACAGTCTAAGCCCATCTTCTTCAGCACGTCAATGTCATTGTGCAACTCAAAGGCATTGTCAAAGTTAAACACATACTCTGACCTAACCAAAAGAGATAAAAACACAATCCAAATATGGTTTTAGCTCATTGTTGAGAGAGAAAAGCTCCTGATTTGAGGGGGAAAAGCAGATTATTTTTTTTAAAAGGAGGTTCTTCTCTCTCCACAAACCTAGCTATAACACCAGCCTCACTGATTGCTTATCAGTGATCATTGTAAAATTGTCACCAAAGAAAGGTCATATTGGGGACACAGTGTAATTCTCTACAGCACATCTCAGAAGTAAGCACTGAATTAAAAGTAGAGTCAGTTAAAGAAGCATAACAATGCTCTACACAATGTCTGACCTAAATGACTATCTTGTGGCTCGTTTGCACTATTTAGTACACACTCACAAGGGATAACGTGTTTTATAACAACATTTACTAACAGCACACAACGCCATTTACAGCTAAACCGGCACAAATGTAAAATAGGTAAGCAAAATAAGGCAGTCGTCTAAATATAGGTTAGATGCCGAGTCCAGGAAACTACGCGAATTAGAGAGCCGCGGGGGCCCTGAGCTGTCGGCGTTCGAGCGCAGCGAGGACGCTACTAAAGGGCCCCCAAGGCGCTCTAATGCGCGTAGTTTCCATGACGAGGCGTCTAACCGGTTTAGAGCTATGGTAATGCGCACATTGGAGAAATGGCGACAGGCTTCGATATCTTCAGAGAGACTATCCGCGACTGGCTTGAAGAACAAGAAGACAACGATGAGGCTGAGCCTGTGTCTCTTGAGCGACGACTACGAGTCCTCACAAGACCCCGCCCAACAATCAAGTTGCCGGCCACTCCCACTCCTGCTTTACTCCTACAAAGAGCGATGGCAACACATGGCTAAACGCGCGTTGGAGAAATGGTGACATGCTTCGATATCTTCGGAGAGACGCGAGCTGCTCTTGCCACTTTCAACTTCAGAGAGTAGCTTAGTCTCAGCAAACTAAAACGGTTAAGCACGCGTTTGCATGCGCGAGAATTAGAGTCCGGCGTAAACAACAACAAATAGCCTCAGGCACTTTTCTATTTACTTCTTCACTTCTATCAATAGCATGTATGAACTATAATTTCATGAAATGTTACGCATGCATATTACATCATTTTCATGAAAACCACACATTGTTTAAACGACAAATAGCCTTTTTAAATAAAAATTTGCTTAAGGGAGACTAAACTACAGGTACGCATGCTTATTACATCGTTTTCATGACAACCAAATATTGTTTGAACAACAAAAAACAGCCTCAGGCACATTTCTTTAAAAGGACTTCTTCACTCCTCAAACTCCTAAACTTGTTAACAGTAGCAGGCATGGAGATGAAACTTGGTACGCATGTGCATTACATCATTTTCATTACAACAACAGGCATTTTTCTTTATCATTAACTTTTATAGAAACATAGTAGTATATAAAATCAGTGGAGACAAGCAAATTAAAAATCCTGCTAATTTAAAAAAAGATGAATATAGGGATTGTAAGGGGGATGGGATACATAAAGCATAGCGATTTGAGCACACAGACACCCCCGTCCCCATCACACATTCCCTATATTGTTGTTTAGGTGAAGTAATAAACATTCAACTTTAGGACTTATAGCATTGGAGTTCACGAGTGGCACACCAGGCAACAATAGGGATGGGCATGGTACCTAGCATCATAGGTGTATCATCGAACCTTCTCTAACTATATCCTCACAGAGATAACAAGGTATATAGAGTTCTCTTGAACGAGTTCGGGGTGGTTCAAGCACATCGAACCTCACCGAACCACATGATTACAGAGAGAGCAAGGTGTGTAGAGTTTTGTCGCATGAGTTCAGGCTGGTTCGACCGTACCGAACCTTCTCTATCTGCATCGTTACTGGGGAAATGAAAAGCACTGAAGTGCAAACCCTCGGCGATCTGCGCACGCACGGTACCACTAATTGATGGGCTGGGGTTTTTACTCGTGGTATCCACGCTAGTAGCTCGCGGAGAGTCTGACATGGACTAGCTACAGTAGTAAATACATCCTTACAGAAATAACAAGGAATATAGAGTTCTTTTAAACGAGTTCGGGGTGGTTCGACTATAGGAAGTTTGTTCATCTTCTTCTTCTTTTTGTTCAACCAGCATAACTCAAAAACCGAAAGAGATAGAGGCATGAAATTTCGAATGAATGTACATATCCATAACCACATGTGCAACGACATACTTTTTTGTTTGTAAACAACAACAAAATTGCCCCAGGCAATACGTTATAAGGGGCATACTACATCTGGCAGCTTAACTCACAATTGGTAAGAGCTATGTGAACGTAAGTTTGCATACATAATGTATTCAATCACCAACGTCAAAATTACAACAATATATCTTTGTTAATAGTATACTATGTAACAGCCAATACATTTGATCCATAGAGAATTTAACTATTTCACCGTAATACCCTTGGAAAATTGAAATACCCCCCGAAAATTGAAATTCCCCAGAAAATCGACCAATCAAATCAAGTGACTAGGAAATCAATGTGAAATACTTCATACAAGTTACAGCTCCAGAAACAAGTGTCGCGAAAGATCTTGTGAGCATGACTATAGCTAATCTATATAACACACTGATCACTATACACAGCACTATACTATTAACATGTGATAGTGCAGTTTGGTGTGGTATTAGGGATTAATAGGGATGGAATTTAAAAAAATAGTATTCGGCTTCGCCTCATACTATTTTGAAAAATTCCGTCCCTATTAATCCCTAATACCACACCAAACTGCACTATTACCTATACAAATAACAACAAATAGCCTGAGCCACTTTTCTTTAAATTTAATTCCTCACTTCTCAAACTTTCCAATGGTAGCACGCATAAAGATGAAACTTATATCATTTCCGTGACGACCGCATATTGTTTGAAAAAGCCTAAGGCAATTTTCTTTAAAACTACTTCTTCACTAATTTGCTAACTGTAGCACACGTGGAGGTGAAACTTGGTGCACATGTGTATTACATCGTTTCCATGACGACAACAACAACATATAGCCTCAGGCCCTTCTCTTTAAAATAATCACTTCTTCATTCCTCAAACTTTCCAATGGTAGCATGCATAGAGATGAAACTTGGTATGTATGCCTATTTCATTTCAGGCAATTTCACACCATAGGTGTCTTTTTTAAATTTGCAGGATTTTTTATTTACTTGTAGTGATTGTGTTATTGGGTTGGGTGTGTGAGCGTGCTCAAATCTGTCGTTAACCATGCTTCATGTATCCCATCCCCATCTCGTCTCCCTTTCCTTTTATACCATCCCTATGCCTCTTTTTTGTTGAAATTTGCAGGATTCTTAATTTACTTGTTTATTGTATCGTGCCTGACTAGTAGCTAATGCCTTTTCCCAGCTTTACAAAATAAGAAGAAAGTGATACGGTATATTTACAAGGAACATTCTCTGAACACTAGATGATGTGAGGCAAACGGAGTAACACTATTTTCTCAAGATCTTAATCCCCAGTCTCAGGTTACCTTGACGTCATCGTAAAACTCACCTATATTATGCTCATGATAGGTGTTTAACGGCACATTTTACCCATTATGAAAAAAAACCATCAACTGTAAAATACATATGTAAACAGCTGCCCCAAGTTACTATTATTAGGTACACACAATGTACGTATGTGGGGGTTGGTCAAAGAACCTTCTGCTACGCTTTATTTCCACTCTTAATACAGCACATGGACATACAGGGCATTGGAGTATCCACATTCAACGGCATAATAAGATGACATGCAAAAAATGTTCCTGATAAAATTCTAAATAAACAACAAACATACTTGTCACTGGAGATGCTGCAGTCAATAGTGGTCTTTTTGCCAGTGTTTACAACCAAGAAAGGTAGGCTGATAGCAGAGTTCTGAGAAGGTGCCCCTAAGTTAGCAACACGCTCCCGATTCCTCTTCATTAGATTCTTGAAGGATAGGATCTATAAGCAAAAAGGAGTCAAAAAGGAATAATCATTAAGGCTGGTTATCAATGCACTAGTAGAAAAGGTGGGAAGCATATACTAATGTGACTAGCTATGGGACAAGTGCACAATTCGTCAATTCTCTCGCATCAGCATGTGCAGCAGACCCCGTATGCATGCATCGTAAAGAGTTTTGACCCAAAAAGTGCAAGTACATAGAAATCGCGAAATTCAGAAAATTCATTTTACACACGTACACACAAGAATTTATATATGGCTATAATACTAGGCGCTAATATGTTATACATCAATTTCTGCTTATTTAAGGAGACACCTATGGCGCCCAAAGGGTTAACTTTTAATGACAGATGGTGCAGAGTGTAAATTTAGTTATCTTTAGCTTCTTGGTGTCTGATAAAACAGAACCCAATGTACTTTGCTCGAAATTTATAGCACACAATGAATGGTTCCTTTTCCAGTAGCTGGTCAAATTACATGACTAAAACATGTGAAGCAAACAAAAACCCTGTGATGGAATAAATTATATAGTCTGAGGTACCCAGACAACATATACAGAGCAAGGAGGGCTCTGGGCCTGGGCAGATAAATTTGTGTAAAAATTACGTCACATCCAAATTTGCAAAAATGCAATCACAAAAAAACATTATGCAACAGTCCAGGCCTCCAGGGTGTCTACAGCTCAAAAGCTTTACTCAAGAAAGCTTAGCTAATTCATAAGAAAGCACTAAGGTGAAAACCCTTGGTGCAACGGGCGCCTGTAAGTACACGCACGTGCGATATAACTGATTGATGGGCTTGGCTACTACTGTAGATGCTTGTGGCCTCTTGCCAGAGCTTGCTGAGAGTCTGTTACGGGCTAGCTGCAACACTAGATAGTATCCGAGAGTCGATACTCGTCTTGCATTGCAACTAGGAGCCTCCAAGGTATGCAGAGCAAGCGGAGCTGGTTAAGGTAAGCCTGTGTTAATTTGCATAAATAAGTAAGCAGTAAGCCTAGCTTTATCTGTACTTCACACCTAACCACTTTTAGACAGATTTTTAAGACTTTAATATATCATTTTCTTTCTACTGCAAATTGTGTTCTCTGCATTATACCTACAGCACTAACAATAAGCACATCCGGGCAAAATTTATTGTGACACACGAAGTGTGAATGAAGTGAAGGCCGATTGCCACAGAAATAGACAAACGGATAAGTTCTAAAATGTGGTCTTCATCCATGACCTTATGGCTGTGTTACCAGTGTGCCAGGTCTCCGTTGTAGTAACTACTGCTTTAGGAAACGCCCTGCTAACTGCTTGTAATTCTGTGTGACAACTGACACTTCTGAACTGGCGATCTCTTAAAGTAGTATGCTAAAATCCACAGGAGGTTCCTGACCACATTATTAACACTTTACGGATAACTTGAATGCACCATGCAAAAGAACGAGAGGATCTTTAGACCTTGTAACGCGTTTCCTAAAGTAGCTGAAAAATATGCATCAAATAGAAGTTGCACACACATCTTCAAGTACATATGTGCACAATTGCTATGGGGCTAGCTAGCTTGCAATTGTGTCAAAACAAGTTCCATGTTTCAGTGTTAATGTAGCTGACACACAGGTTTGTTATATAACCAATTTGGCGACCAATTTTTAGACCACAGTCCAATGAAACTATTAAGAGGTCGAGGCCTGGCCAGGAGGTCAAGGACTGGCCTTCTGAGCACAGTGAAGATGCTACTAGACGTCCTACATTGCGAGGTCTCCATGACTAATTGTCTAACCACAGAGCGCAGCGCGCACTATCTTTTGCAAAGTAAGTGCATAAGCTGTGGGGGTGAATACTATCCAACAGCATTCTTCGATAGTTCTACTTCATGTTCCTCATCAGCCTACAAGAGAAACTAAGTTGACTGGTTTTTTCTTAGTTGACTGATCAGATTTAGATTTGACTATTACATAAACTGCCATACTCTAACACCATAGAGCACACGCAATGCAATTAAGCATGGATGTGTGATGTGTGTTCTAGTTAACTTGTAGTTCTTGTTATCTTCGAGAGTTATTAAGCCATTACACTAGGCTGTGGGACAACCGGCACTGCACAGGTGCAGTGAACTAAAGTAGTAGTAGCACAGGTGAGTAACCTGTTAATGACTAACCTGGGTGCTCCTTAGTTAGTACCTTACCTTTGTTGTTAACCTACGGCGTGCACGCACAGCAAGGGTTAAGGTAGTTGGGTCTGTCTGTCTGTCTGTGTGTCTGTTACTCAACATCTCACTTCTCCAACGTTTTTTCGTCTCACAAACGATACTACCTACTTAACGGGCAATGAAGGTCAGAAAGTTTGTGCAGTTTTCTCTGAAAATGCTCCGTTGCAAAGCTAGAGTGCTTCCAGCATTGTACGGCTAATTCAGGTAGTCGCCCATTTTATCGCTGCGGAAAATGCGCATGCGCTTATATGTAGTACAGGGTTACCTCGACCGGCTCCGCTTGCTCTGTGTATCTTGAAGGCACAAAAAGTCACAACTAATGGTGTGTATCAACTCTAGCATGATATATACTACTGTAGCTAGCCCGTGTCAGACTCTCTGCGAGCTACTAGCGGGAGACCACGAGTAAAAGCCAAGCCCATCAACTTGTGGTACCGCGCATGCGCAGTTCGCCGAGGGTTTGCACTTTTAGTGCTTTTCATTGCTGGTAGTGTATTACAAGGCCATGAAGTCTATTGTTTGAGCCATCTACACAAGAAAACTTTGAGGTGAAAGGTCAACGTGAAGCCAGCACGATTTATATCACGTTGAAGTATCACTAAGTACGGTAATACTTAGTATACAAGTAAATTAAAAATCCTGCGAATTTAAAAAAAGAGGCATAGAGGGATGGTATAAAAAGAAAGGGAGACAAGATAGGGATTGGATACATGAAGCATGGTTAATGAACAGATTTGAGTACGCTGACACCCCCAACCACATCACACAATCCCTATATTGTTGCCTGGTTTGCTACTCTTGTAGGGGCTAAAGGTTACTAAAAGCAAGCATTCTTTCACCGTGTCCCTGTTGTTTTTAGTAACATTTATACTGCCTTTAATTAAACTCCACTTGGACTCTATATATAAGGGTGTTGGTTACTCAGTAGTGTAGTGTAAATTCTGATGGTGAATGTTTAATACTTCACATAGGCAACAATATAAGGATTGTGTGATGGGGTTGGGGGTGTCAGCGTACTCAAATCTGTTCATTAACCATGCTTCTTCATGTATCCAATCCCTATCTTGTCTCCCTTTCTTTTTATACCATCCCTATATGCCTCTTTTTTTTTAATTCGCAGGATTTTTAATTTACTTGTCTCCACTCATTTTTATATACTACTACGTATTATCTGGGCAAGCCCCTATAAAAATTAATAATAGAGAATAAAGGCCTGTTGTCATCATGGAAATGATATGCATACCATGTTTCATCTCCATGTGTGCTGCAGTTAGCAAGTTTCAAGAGTGAAGAAGTAATTTTAAAGAAAAGTGCATGAGGCTATTTGTTGTTGTGGTCGTCATGGAAACGATGTAATACACATGCGCACCAAGTTTCACCTCCATGTATGCTACAGTTAGCGAGTTTGAGGAGTGAAGAAGTAATTTAAAGAAAATTGCCTGAGGCCTTTTCGAACAATATGCGGTCGTCATGGAAACATGTAATCATAATGGAAATGATAATATAATAGGCATACGTACCAAGTTTCATCTCTAAGCGTGCTACCATTGGAAAGTTTGAGAAGTGAAGAAGTTAATTTAAAGAAAAGTGCCTGAGGTTATTTACAAACATGTATTTTCGTGCCAACATCAAAATCACAACATTACAAAACAACAAATAGCCTCAGGCACATTTCTTTAAATAATACTTCTTAACTTCTCAATGGTAGCACGCATAGAGATGAAACTTGGTACGTATCCCTATTATATCATTTCCATGACGATTACATGTTTCCATGACGACCGCATATTGTTCGAAAAGGCCTCAGGCACTTTTCTTCAAAATTACTTCTTCACTCCCCAAACTCAATAATTGTAGCACACATGGAGGTGAAACTTGGTGCTCATGTGTATTACATCGTTTCCATGACGACCACAACAACAAATTGCCTCCGGCACTTTTCTTTAAAATTACTTCTTCACTCCTCAAACTCGCTAACGGTACAACGCATGGAGATGAAACTTGGTGCGCATGTGTATTACATCATTTCCATGACGACCACAACAACAAATAGCCTCAGGCACGTTTCTTTAAAATTACTTCTTCACTCCTCAAACTTGCTAACTATAGCACGCATGGAGGTGAAACTTTGTGCGCATGTGTATTACATCGTTTCCATGACGACCACAACAACAAATAGCCTCAGGCACTTTTCTTTACAATTACTTCTTCACTCCTCAAACTTGCTAACAGCAGCACACATGGATGGTATGCATTTCATTTCCATGACGACAACAGGCATTTTTTCTCTATTATTAATTTTTATAAGGGCTTGTCCCCTTCCACAGAGATAATACGTAGTAGTATATAAAATAGTGGAGACAAGTAAATAAAAAATCCTGCGGATTAAAAAAGAGTGCATATAGGGATCGTATAAAAAGAAAGGGAGACAAGATAGGGATTGTGTTTGTGGAAGCACAGAGATGCTAGCGAGGAGTTAGGACTCCCACAGGTCATTACAACAGCCCTATATCGTCGTAGGGTGGGAGTGAAGGTTATGAAAGAGTATTGCTAAGTACTGTACTACTTAATAATGATTGTTGTGTACATTTCATTGATCTGTCATGCTACATTCCCATGGAGTGTATGCACATCAAGGTGCGACCAGTTATGAGTACTGTCGTAATAATCAGCTGACCAAAACAATGTACATGCATAACATCATTACATGGAAAACATACGTATAATACGAGAAAACCAAATTCAAGTATGCAGGGTTGCTGATACTTATGCGAGGAAGATTTTACTCCGTGGTCAAGCACCGATACGACGATATAGGGCTGTTGTAATGGCCTGTGGGACTCCTAACTCCTCGCTAGCATCTCTGTGCTTCCACAAACACAATCCCTATCTTGTCTCCCTTTATTTTTATACGATCCCTATATGCACTCTTTTTTTAATCCGCAGGATTTTTTTTTACTTGTTATATTGAGTGATAGGGAGTGGAGTTGCGTTATTGCAGATACATGCCATTTTGTCATAACACCTAGTGGTAAGTAAACATCAAGTCAGCACATTATGTCTAATAGTCGATTTCAAACTTCAACGACAGGCACGAGGGAGTCTTTCTAATAATTATTGAATAAGCTGACAGGTGTGCTAGAGTTGAAACGTACATAGCCTCCAACCTGACTGGCTGAAGGTCACATGCAGCACTAAACGTTTAGAACGTTCCGCCGTTATGTTCTATCCTTAGGGCTTATAACTTCATGGGTTGCCCATTTTATAGCGTGGAGTGCTGGTTTTACAGTCTTATAATAAAACTTCCAAACTGTACTTTAAAAAATTGTTCTGGCTGTTTTCAACAGCTATGGTGGCCCCTACAAAAAAAATTATGGGACCTGCATTCCTGAAGGCGTGTTCAAACAGGATTTACAAAGTATTGTCTTAGCACAGTAGTAATCAAGACATGGTAACTTCCTTAAAGCGGGTGGCATGTATATGTACCTTCAATTAGGCGTAGAAATTAATGATGTCAAATATTCAGAAGGTGCAGGCTTACTGTGTATACATGTATACCTGAATCAGTAAATCTTCAACCTCCCTTTGTTTTGCTTGTATTCGTTCTTCAATCTCCTCTAATTCAGCCTGCAAGATAATTTGATAATGCATATAACATGAAAAAAACATGTGCTAGCTATAAACGATAATAGAGAAATAATCCCAAATCACCCTCCACCCAAGTATGTACAAAAATTTGACAAACAACATACTTACACAATACACACAAGCCCAAACGTGCCCAGCCTTGATGGCGCCCCATCTATATATATATAAGAGCAGCCTAGGGCAACTTCAGAAGGTGAGTGGTTGGTGAGGGAAAATCACAACCGCTTAGGATTGTCTTTTTGACACTAGGATAGAATATAGGGATTGTGTGCTGAACGTAGCTTGGTTCCAGTTTTTTCCTATGATCTTTTGGAGCGTTTATTCATCCACCCCAGACAAGCCACAGCAGGGCAACAGTGCATACCCTTGATTGGCACTAACCAGTGACCATAGCAACTGCAGCTGTCTGAACAATGCTATGAAAACACCTGGACCACCCCTATATCTGGGGGCCTTATGCTGTATAGATACCAGCCAGATCCATCAATGGGATGTTCTAAGTAATATTCAGCTGACTTTAAGTGTTTTAAGTGTGCAATAAATCACGTAATGTACACTTAAGTGTGCAATAACCAGACAATGTACACCTATACTGACAGGTTTGCTGCGCTTCGATGCTCGATTGCCTATGTGTGCACACGTTGTCTGGATGGAGGTCTACGGGGCTATATACGTGACTTACTGAGAAGACGGATGACATCGTTACTCACATATTTAGACATAGGCAGTGCATAGAGCTTGGCCACAACACAACTGGCAAACTGTAACTTGCAACACCGCACAAACTAACGTAGTCACTCATGATAGGTATTACTACAGCAGTTTACAGGCACACGCAATGCTCTAAAGACTACAGAGAGTGTGAGTGTCTCTACTCTCGAGGTTGAACTAGCAGGACAGGAAAGGCGCCAATCTCGGTGCGCTATTGCATCATTCTCGTGGACACAAATGTTCCATGCATCTGATTGGTCAGAAGTCATGTGACCAGTAATATTTACATCATTCCTTATTTATTACTTATATACTCAACATGCAAAATGCAATGCTCATATTGGCACACACAAGTCTATTTTAAATGTGCACAACTTTTGACGGTACATTTTGACATTACATTCCAGAGTACTGCTATAAGGAACGTATACCTGCAGTTCTTCCCTCCATTCCCTCCTTACTCTTGAAGGAAAAGGGGAAGAACAGACTTGGCACCTCAGACTAGGTTGCTGATTTTTCCTTGTTTCCGCTCTATCTTTCTTCATATTAGAGCGTCGGTAGATGCACTATATAGGAATGGCATGGGTCAAATCTCACGTGATCCACGTACAAAATGCCTCAAAACTCGGCGAGAATGACTGACTAGGCTTAAGAATCACTAGACAGGACAATATCTAGATATAAATATGCTTCAAGACTTTAAACGTGCCTTCAGATCTCCAGGCCAGAAATCGTTCATACGCGATTTCACGATGTTCGTGTGATCATCATAATATTATTCATCTACTTCTTTAAGCCTGTTATCTCCTTACCGGAAACAGTTAGAAGCGCTGATTTTTTCACAGAATGTATCCAGATTTGACAGAGGTGTGCACTGCCACCGAGCAATCGTTTCTTTGTCATCGCACGTCGCTACTGTAGATCCTGCAGCCCTTCCACGGTAGACTCTGAATGACGCCATTTGTTGCTAACTCAGCAGTCAGCAGAGGGATGTTGCCTGATACGCACGCACAACAGAATACGCCGGTTCCGCACGCTGGTAGCTGGCCACCTTCTGTAAGTTTTGGAGCGGCATACAACTATCTGACCTGCGTTTTGTTCAGTGTCGAGAGCTAGCTCGTGAGACTACACGAAAACGTGTGTGCACACACCAGGAGTATAGCTACAACAATTTTGAGCCTCAGCGTCACTTTGTGCCCCACCTTGTAACTAATACTACTAAGGTCTGCTTATGAAATAACCACGTGTACAAAGACGCTGTAATCAAGTTACCTCCGGAACCCTATATCTGGTCAGTCTTTGTCTCTCTGGGTAGCTATCAGCAGCCATCAGTTACTGCTCTGTGTATAATTATACTATGCTGGTTTTTCAATGTCCCTGCCTCCCTAACTCATATTGCTGTTTCTATATCATTGTCAGCAGTGGTCAACAATTATGTCATAGTCAACCCCTTTACGTACATGCAAGTCAGAGTGACCAATGCTGTGTAGTCTAAAAATAAGGGGAACGAGTGGTAAACTCATTTGTTCAAAAGGAACGAGGATATAGGGATGGCTCAAAAATTGAAAAGGAACAAGGGGTCATCACACAGCTGAGACACACAAAACTACATGACACCACCCCTATATCTTTGTTTTATTCATAGGCAAAAACACGAGACAAAGATATAGGGCTGGGAGTTCGTTCAAAATGGGGGAACTCCTCCCAGAATTTTTACCCCCTCGGTCTGAAAGGAGACCGCCACCTTGCCGCCTCTGGGAACAGGCACTCACCGACGGAAGCGCACTGTGACTGACATCGCAACGTGGGTGCAGTGCTTGGCCACTTACATAAGTGTTATGTCCGGCCCGCACCCTAACTCTGTACCCGAGCTTCTGGCCAACCTCACATTCATTTTGAGGGCCAGCCAAGATTTCGGCAGTGTGACTTGGGTCACATACGATGCAGCATTCCGGCGCCAGGCGTTTATTACCGGGAACTGGCAGTGGTTGAAGGTGAACCCGTCTCTCTACTCTATCTGTTTTGCGGGTGTGGCACGCACAGGAATCCAGTGCAAGCTCTGTCTCAGCCTATCCCACCCCACCCGTGATTGTGCTCTGATGACAGGCCCAGACCAGACGTAGCTTAGAGACTAAAGACGTTGGAGGCAGCTATTCGCCTTCATCTCCTTCCCCCAGCCTGCCGGGGGCGAACCCTGCCAGAGGTCGCAAGAGGTTTGCAGGTGCTGGAATGCAGGCCGCTGCCAAATGCCACAGTGCCGATACAGACACGATTGCCGAGTGTGCAGGGGTGCCAACCCAGGCTTTAACTGCTGCGATCGTTCCCTCGTGTCCCGGACGAGCCCGAACATGCTGCTGCTGTGATCGGCTAACACCTCCGCTGGCTTGGGCTCCTCCATGCAGGCGCCTGCTACCTCGTTAGGTCGTTGCACGGTGCCAAGTTCCACAGACCGGGGGGCACCTACCCGCCGGGTACAAGGTGCTGTCCCCCAAAGCCATACGGGGTCGCCGTCCGAGTGGCCCTTGCCACTGTATTATTGCCTGATTGTCGGATAGAGCCAGGCTCTTGTGAGTTCTAAAATATGATTGTGCAATCAGAGGAATACAATTTCACTTAGCATTCAGCTGACTGATCAGCGAAATTCTACATAGAGAAATCCTCCCGGACGCACATTCCATTGTTATCGTCTTCAGAAACGTGGCTACAGAAAATTCGAGAAGACCTCTAACTGCAGGCAAGCGAACGGAGTGAAGGAGTAGGCTCTGCCGGCTAGCTGTCACGCAAAAGTAGTCGGGGTCGCTGCGCGCTTTTCGGACAGCTTGTGTGCACAGCTAGTGTGCGGGGTCGCTAAGCGATTTTCGCACAGCTAGTGTGTGGGTGCACTGGAGCTGTAGCCAGAGCAACCTATTAATGTGCCACTACCAGTTAGAAGACCAAGTACCAGGTTTTTCGTGAGAAAGAACCTCTCCAGAAGCTCCGTCTTCCGTCCGCACGTTTGGCGTCTTTCGAATTGAAGGAATGGCTGCCATGGCTCTAAATCAGTTAGGTGCCAATTCTTGAAAACCACGCGATCTAGAAAGCCTCGGACCCTCTATTAGCGTCATCGCTGGCGCTTGGATGGCTACAGCCGCGTAGTTTCTTTGAATCGGCGCATAACTTTTATATATATATGTATATTGTGTTATGTTGCCACTTGATGATATCATTCGGGGATTAAAACTTAGGAGAGCGTCGACGTATGATACATTTCCTCTCCCTCCGCAGGGCCTTCTACCGTTACCCAGGTGATCTGCTGGCATTGGACAGCCACAGACCACCGATGCTCTGCCTTCCTTCTTCTCGGTTTAGTACCATAGTCATTCCTCTAGACGCCGAGAGATGGGAGGAAGCCCTACATGGCCATCCAGACAGGGCATTTGCCAATTACATTACTCAGGGTATCCGGTTAGGGTTCCGTGTCAGTTTTCGGTTCAGGGCAGTGGCCTGTCGCTCCACATTCTCAAACATGCCCTCTGCCTCACAGTGCGACGAGGTTTTTGCAACGGAATGCACAGTGGGGTGGATTCTCTGCCACTTCGATCGATGACTCCTCCAAATGATACACGTTAACCGGCTTGGGGCGGTCCATAAAAGCACACCATGGAATTACCGTATGATTGTTGACCTCTCCTTTCCTGAGGGCCATAGTCACAACGATGGAATCTTGGAAACACTCTGCTCTCTCTTGTATGCCTCGGTGGAGGACGCCGCAAAGTCGGTACTGCGACTCGGCCGCAGAACCCTAATGGCCAAGATGGATACTCACAGCGCATATCGGAATGTGTCGGTACACCCGGATGATAGCTGGTTACTAGGGATGACTTGGCGGCACTCAGTTTTTCATCGATACGGATCTCCGTTTGGACTCAGGTCTGCCCCCAAAATATTTAACTCACTAGCGGATGGACTAGAATGTATGATGAGCCAGGATGGCGTCGGTGAGATGTTCCACTGATTTTCTTGTACTGGGTGCACCACTGTCTCGCGAATGTGAGAGCGACCTGTCTAAGCTGTTGATACAGACGCAGTGGCTGGGTTAACCTATCGCTGAGGAGAACGTTGAAGGCCCATCCACCGGGGCATACATTTCTCAGAATCGAGATTGATTCAGAGGCCCTAGTCTTCATGTTCCCTAGCGACGAGCTGTGGGCACTAAAGAAACGGCTGGCCTCGTGGAAGGCTCGACAGTCATGCACGAAGTCTGACTTATCCTGCAAGGTCATTCGTCCAGGGTGGACATTCCTTCGAGCTGCTTCGAGGAGTGTGCCAGAGCTACCATCACATCCGACTCAATTCGGGGATGCGCACAGGCCTGTTATGGTGGGGACCTCTTCCTGGACTCATGGAATGGGGTTTCCATGCTGCGGCACCAAAGGCTGGCGTCACCGGATCTCGAGGTCTTCACAGATGCCTAAGGCTCCTATGGGTGTGGGCCATATGGACTCGTCACTGGCTCGAGCTGGAGTGGCCGGCATCAGGGTCCTGGTGGCAAAATTTTCATATGTCTTTACTTTTCATTTCATGTCCTCATGTCGAATAATCCTTCTTTTTTTCAAACCATATATGTTACTAGAAGGGCTTGGGTGAGGGAGGCCTGCGTCGCATTACTCCACTGGGCAGGAGGGGTAGGAAAAAGCCACTCCCTCTCACCAAGCTTACTCGCACAACTCGGAGGGGAGGGGCAACTTCCCTCCCCCCTCTTGCTCAAACACATCCGCCAATCCAGGGCAATACTCCACAGTCGTGCGTAGAGAGACAGTGGCCATCCCTATATCATTTTGTGTCACTTAAGTGTGCACTCTTCACAATTTTTTCAGTGTATATACCAGGTGTGAGGTGAGGGGAGGAGCAAGATTCGAGGAGTATATCACAAAAATTGGTACATGGGAATGTATCATAGGTGTATGGGGGAGGGGAAAGAGCTGTTTATTATTTAACAACAATCACTAGGTAGATAAAAAAACATTGCAGATATCAAGCACCATGTGTATTTGCACAATTCTTCTGTTGTTTACCGCATTCAACGCCCAGGTTAAGGGCACACATGTAATTGCGTGACTATCAAAACTACTTAAAAGAAAAAATAACATTAAAAACATTACATGTTTCCGTATTACTATTGCCATGCTCTGGGTTAATGCTAATTAAACGCATAATATGAAACTTATAATTATACATACACTTGTGCAGTACCTATAGTGCATCCTGAAAGTCTTTGAACCAACGTTTTGCGTCAGAACGCGGAAATTGGCAATGCTCAAGACGCAAATAATGTCTGAGTCAGTTTTCATGCATGCAAAACATCCAAATCCTCCGTGCGTCCGTGTGCGAGCGTTTGCATGCATGTGAGTGTGCGTGCGTTTACGTTCGCCTGCGTCTGCGGGCGCATTTGCCAAATGATGTATAAAATATGTGGGGCAGTTTCTGCGCACGCAAATTCTGGCACGAAAGACAGCTAGCTCTGGGCGAGTTATTTTTGGCAGCTTGTGGAGAAGGAGGTTCACATGAAGACTGTGTGCGTTAAAAAAGTGCGTGTGTGACCTGGGAAAAATTGCGCCCGGATGCACACAAAGACTGCGTGCGTAGTGCGGTATGGTTTATTGCATGCGTTTAATAAAACGTCTGAATGCGCGTAGGGAAAGAAAAGATTTACACGCAAACGCACATTGGGTTCGGACACTTTCACGATGTACTATACACAAAAGCGATTATAGAGACGCTCTGATATGTAGTAAAGGTTACATAATACAGGTGCTTTACATGCTAAATCTTTTTGGTATACACAGCTGCATACCTCGATGTGTTGGCATTCCTGAGCTGAATTAGTTGGGAGCCCAAGCCATCTGATCTCTTTCTTCTCTTTAGATATAATATTCATGGCCATAAGTACATTGAGGGCATCATAAACTCTCCTTCGAATATTCTTATGGTCAATTGGCTGCAAAACATACACAATGCAAAAGTTAACATTTAGGGAGAACATGACCATAATGCATTAAAACTGAGCAGCTCACGCTATACACATATGTAAAGAGAACAGGAATTTAGAAGGGCTACAACACACATACAACAACAAGGGTTTACTTGGGACTTGCAAAAACACGTGAGTAGTAGGTTGCTACTATGCAGTAGATGATGGCATGCATAATGCTTTGATGTAATGAGGTTTCAAGCCTGTGTGACTTGTCACTTTATTGCCATAGGAAGTTCACGCACACCAAAAACACACATACTATGAAGTTTGCCTAGGGCCAACAGCTTTTCGTTAACCTCTTATCATAGGTATGTAAATCAAAAGTGCGGTTCATAACAACTCTACTGCCGTATATATTTTGGTGAATAGAACCATGGCTAGAGAACTTTCTCATCCTGTAGAGTATGTGTAGTTCAGATGTATGTTACTAAAGATTGGATTGGATCAAAGCAATAATCATTGAGGTTTCCTTCCTTGAAAAACAATAGCCCCTATATATATCCACACCCCCTTTTACCTGTGTAAACATGTAGACGCATACATACAATTCCGGGATAAACAGGATGCAGGAAATCCTGATGGTTCGCAGTTATGGCCACACGGGAGATAGGTTGTTATCTAACAGAACAAACTTTCGGTACAGGTTCCCACAACATGCAGATTTGTTCAAACGTAGGATTTTATCTCCGTGCAGACTAAACTTGGGTTCTACTCAGCTACATATGGTACAGGTTGTGCTGTGACTGCGGATGATATTAAGAAGGTACCTTACAACATCGTTGAACTATATTTGGCTGAACTCCAACTATGCCAAACAATATATATTTTGTTATAATGCCTAATTAAAAAAGCCTTAAAAGATACAGGAAAAATATTTTCTTGCCATTGTAGCACAAAACCTATGAAGTTTGAAAAATATGGTGATACCTAGGATAGCAGACATACATAGCCACATTTGCAGGTAGACATATGTGATAATCACATTAGCAAACATTGTAATTCACACATGTTGTGTTGACGCAAGTTTTTACTGATGTTTTGCCAACCTATAGAGCCCACAACTTGTTTTAGCCATGATTTGGACATCTCCCGCCAAAGGAATAAGTCCTGCTCTGCAGGAATGAGAGTCCATTATCCCTCCATCCCACCTCTCTCTACCCTAGACTCCAGGAATTTTCATCCTTTTCCATCAAGGTAACCTACACTTGCACTCTCTTCTTCAAGGAATTGTATTTTGTAGCTGCCTGCAACCTGCCAACCTACGTAGCCTTAATGTCAAGCTCTAATTCATTCAAATGTGCCCTCTCCAACGTCAAATTCTAATCCATTGTTAAATATAATAACCAGTAGGCGAATGCACATCATTTTTGGTGAGCGGGAGCAAGCACATAATGACTGTATTTGCACAAGCCATCCTAGAGTAGCCTATTTACAACTTGCACTTTGGAACCACAAGAGGTACAGCTTCGATCAGGCACTGAAGAGTGCAGCAAATGCACCCGAATGGACGAGAGTTCTCTGGCTGGCTAGATCACACATCGTTGGTGTGGGCAGCGTTTAAAATCATTTTCGGATAAAAAGAAGTGGGTAATTCAAATGCATGCCCAGCGACTACATACGGTGAGACGTACAGTGATATATGAATATATATGTAGAAATATTGCGCCATTCGGACAACTAGGTTAGCTCGCTCCCACTCGCCAATTAATGAGTCCCCGAGACACAAGAATTTAGTTTATTAATCCTTGTCATCGTTCAAAGAAAAAATAGGACCTTCACAAGAACACCTCAGCATGGTTTATAGTCTGGTCACCAGATCATTCTTACACACATGCGGTAGTCGCATGCAGGAGAGGGAAAGAAGGGTCTGGTTCAGAGCTATACCCTAACGCGTGCCCTGGAATTTTGATTAGTGTGGGTGCGCAACTTCAGTGGCTAACCACATAGGCAAAAGGGAAAGTGCAGTGTTGTAGCTACTTTCTTTTCCTTTGTAACCTCCAATGAAGGAGAGTAGCGTATATTGGGTTGGTTAAGGTTGGGTAGCAGTCAGAATAACCGTGCGTGCTACATAGAGATGGTAGAACTCAACAATCTGCAAATCAACAATGACATGATGCGCAGAAATAACGCGCAGCAAGTCCGTGGAACAGTGAAAGGACAATTCACGAATTGATGCTTCTTTGCAGCCTGGCAGATACGTGTAGTTGAACACAAGCGGGAGAAGAGCATAACACAAAGATTTGTCGAACCCAGTGGGAAGAGACACAAACACATGTCTCCATCGTGCAAACGTCCATATTTCCTCTCGCTGTAATTGCACCTTAACTACGCCAACGGTGTAATCAATAGCAGCCCCGATTGTGCTCGGATTATGACTTATCCTTCTAAAACTCCACCCAAGACTCAGCGCATAATTCAGTACTGCGGTCTATAATTGCATTCTAACACCTGTTCTTACATTCCAGCCTTGGCCCGCGTTAGGCAGGGTTCTGCCTACGATGGTCGGTGGTGGTCGCCGTATACGCCCGACCACCGCTGAAAGTCTCCCGACCACTCCTAAATAAAAGGCGGGGCTGGTGCCTTCTGCCCGTATAGTACGCATCTAAGAGCGATGAATGAATATCTGCAATGGAAACGTGGCCTCCCTGCGGCTCTAAGATGACACTTGGCTTTCTAACACACGAAGAACGAATCTGGGGTTCGTCTGCGCGCCTACACTAAGTATAAACATGCAAACAAAAAGGCACGCACGAACGCGGAAAAAACCACGCGTACACATTAATTCCGCGCATGCGCATTTACGTGCGCATTTTTTATAGGACTGTTTTCCTAAAGTCAATAATGGCCACCACTAAAATAATCCTGGGCAGAACTCTGGTTAGGGTATAGCTCTGAACTATACCTACTTTCCTTCTCGCATGCACATGGTTTCTTGCTAGAGAGTATAACAAGGCTTACATAGTTATTTTAGGATTCGATACTTTCTCTCCTTCGTAACATCTGATGCCTCTCAACAGTGCAAGACATGGGCAGAATCAAAGCCAGTGTTAATTGCTTGTTTAGTTGCTATAACTTTGGAATGCAGTATTATTATAACGAACACCATTCAAAAAATACAGTCAGTGTGGCAGCTATCGGTCTGGTTTTGGCTCGTCATGTGGGCACATGAACAGACAGACGGACTAACGGAATGACAAACCATAACCCTCGCTGCACACGCTCGCCGAGAGTTGATGAAAGGTTGATGAAAGGTTGACTTTGCCTTTTGGTTTTTATAATGACCGCCTCCCTCGATCTCCATAGGACAGTAAATCGTTTGTTTTCTTGTTTAATCTGTAGTTTTTCTGCAGTAAACCCTGTTGCGAGCCTCGGCTTTGCAATCTTAGTCAAACTTAGCTTACTCTAAAATGTATGTATTCGCACAGAGAGCAATATTGCGTACATAAAATCTAATAACATGAATAACTTCTGAGTCCTAATCAAAATAGCCTATTTATAACCTCTTCCTATAAGCAAACGGGAACACTTGACAAACAGATCTGACCTACCTCACTTGATGGACTCCGTTTTTCACTTTCTGTTAGTTCCTTCACAAGCTCATCAGCAACCTGAATAAACCAGCGAACGAGAAACCTATAATTATGTACGTCGATCTGTTATGTTAGTTACGCTTCACAACATGCAGTGAGGAAGAAAATGCATTAGGCACGAGTATAAACGCTGCATGTATATAGTAGCAACCCTCGAATAGTAGCCGCACTTTGTGCATGAACATAGTGCGTAGCGAGCGTCAATCAAGCAAAAGGCAGCAGGCAAGCTTCGACTGTAGATGCTGCATTGCATTGATCCTGAATCATGGCGGGGGAAAACTGTGAGGCCTCGTGATCCTACTTTCTGCCTGCTGGTTTGGAAGACAAAAGTCATCTGTATGGGGCATCCATCACAAAATCCCTGTGTTGTTGCCTAGGCATAAGAAAAAGACTAAAGTACAAACCCTCGGCGAACTGTGCATGCACGGTACCGCTAATTGATGTGCTGGGCTATAAGTATGCATTTACTCGTGGTCTCCATGCTCGCGGAAAGTCTGACACTGGCTAGCTACAGTAATAGATAGCATGTGGAAGTCGATACGCGCCCTTTGTGACTTCTTGTGCTTTCAAGATACACAGAGTGAGCAGACCTGGTCGAGGTAAGCCTGTGCTAATTAGCATATTGGCTTGTTGACTTGGTTTTCACGTGTAACTCTGAAACGAAGTACTTTTATGAAAATCGCCAAATTTACAATCAGGTCAGTGTAGTGCTGAACCCATTGGGGTTGCTTTTTGGCGGGTTTGTTGCGCGTAGTGGCAGAAAACCTGGTAACAGACACACAGACGAAGTACTATAACCCTCGCTGCGCATACGCACCGAGGGTTAAGAACGTACTTGTTTGCCATTACAGTATGTCTTTCAGCAGAACCCATAGTTTGAAAACACAGGTCATAATAAAGTGCTATTCTAGTGAGTTACCACATTATACTGTACATGTAGAGTTCAAATATTTGTTATGAGTCACTAGGCAAATAGTAATAGGGTTGGGAGTGTCAGTGTGCTCACATCTGCTTCTTTACCATGCTTGTATCCAATCCCTATCTTGTCTCCCTTTCTTTCTCCATATTCCTCTTTTTCGCAGGATTTATGACAATTTAAAATGCCTTTCCGCATACAGTCACATATGTCCACTAAAGTATAATATTTACAATGGTAACAGCCTACCTCATTATAAGTGGTGGCACCTTTCTCCCTGACTTTCTCACACACTCTCTGTGAAAAGTGTCTCAGTCCTTTGTTGTGTTGCTTCTCTCCCGACTGTCTTGATGAGTAGGATTGGGCCCCTCTACGACGTTTGCTACTATCTGCTTCAAAATCAAATGTTCGTCCTCTCTTACGTGTTGCAAGTGATGTAGTGTAGCTTGGCGAGGATGAGTGTGAGGGAGCCACAGTGGAGATGGACTGAGTACTTGGTTTTAGTTGAGGACGGGAGGTGTGACTGCCTGAAAGAAGCTACAGGATTGAAGTGCAGGTGTTTAAGGGGTATCTTACTACATTTTAAATTTCCTGGGTAAAATTCTACTATGCCTAGGAACAAGAAAAATTTGGTTTTATCCACACGTACACATTACATCTTAGGTTCCCTCTCTAACAAAACAGGTAACATTAATGTAACAAACCTGTTCAAGATTAATGGCACCTTTACCGGTCAAAATTCCAACAAGGTTCTTCAGTTCACCTGGAAGTAACACAAAACGCCACAAGTATAGCAGTGAACACTATAGATAGAAACAATAGGAAAGTTAACATTAGAATTGCTCTCTTAACCTGTTGTTAGGTCGTTACTTACGCACAAAATAACTGCTAAGGCACTCAAGAGATTGTCAGTGTTTGCAAAGTGGAGAATATCCATAGCAAAGGTAGCACTTTCCACTGTAGTTAGTGCAGAGATGAAGGCCTGGATATCTCGCTTGCTCAACATCTTCATCAGACATACATGGATCATAAACATTAAAGCAGGGTACAGATAAAAGAAGTCTCCAAGTTTTTATTGCATATTAGAGCCGTCTATTCAGTTCACCTGCGAAGTAGAGCAAGATCATGTTCTACCTTTCCTTGATGTACTTCTGAGGCATAACCTTGATGGAACAGTAACCAGTGTTTACCATAAACCGGTACCTGGACTATAATTCCCATCATCCCTCAGCTCACAAGTCAGTAGTGGTTAGAATCCATCTTAGCCGAGCTGAAGTTCTATCCTCCTCCTCTACATGCCATGAACACGAATGTCCCAAGATGTTTGCAGCACTGGAATCCAACAACTACCCTAGGTCCTTCCTTCGAAAAACTCGCCAGAGAGCATCGCACAGATCTCCCAGCACTGAAGAAGAGGAACAGACCTCTATAGTCGTTCTATACATCAACGGGTTTTCTGAGGCTGTCCGACGACTGTTATCGACGGTCAACGTCAGAGTACTCTTCTGGCCTCACACCACTCAAGCAACTTTTGGTGAAAGTTAAAGACCCCACTCCACATATGCAGTGAAGCAATGTTGTCTACCGGATTGCATGTAGAAATTGTCCCCAAGTCTACATTGGTCAGACTAGCAGGTTGCTCAAGAATAGACGAACACAAGGCGGCGGTCAAGCACGCAAGAACTGAGGAATCTGCAGTAGCTGAGGACGTCTGGGTCTCGAAATATCAAGTGGACTTCCAAGGAGCCAGAGGAAGCCAATCACCACCAACGACTGGCCCTAGAGTCCTGGCACATCAAGAAACACTCCACTTTTAACTGGGATGCAAGCACTCTCTTCTGCCTATTCTTGTCTCTTGTAGTTTCCACTGTCACCTTTGGTTTGTATGTTCTCTCAACTTTTTCTTCTTCTCATTGTCTTCTTATATGTTGTTATTTATTTATATTTTTTGCCTTTTTTCACATTTTTACTGTTTTATCACCTGCCTGCCCTTGTTTCCTTATTTTCACTCATACTACCTGGTGATAGTGGAATCTCCTTCATTCCTTTCTCTCTCATGCATAAATGGGCCTGCAACCTGTCATTATGTATATCACCACTGACGAGGACTGCTGAATGCAGTTGAAACATCTGGTGTTGTTATAATTATTTGACTACAGTATTGTGAAGATTTCTAGCTTTAGCTATGCAGCCTAGTCAACTAAAAATATTTAGTAACAGATAAAAGAAGCTACACAGTTTAGTAGTGGAGTTTAGTGCGGCTTGCAACTTGAGTGTCAGCTTAAAGCGCAAGCTGTTAATCTTTCTGAGTGACAACAATCCTATGGAATGAGTCCCAATGATGCCTAGGTGTATAGTTCCTGGTTGTCAATGGAAGCCACCACAGTACACAGAAAAGGACATGGATCAGGAGCCTATATCATTCGTGTCAGCCTTTCTTGGTACTCGCAGCCGCCCTCCACAGTTTCTCCAGGGTATGCCCCTCTCCCTCGTTTTACGAGTATGCCTGCTGGGCTGTTCTGCAGAATTCCTCGAGAAAAAGATGTAGCAGCACGTTTTATGCCACTACGAGAATCTCCTAGCAACGACCAATCCCAAAAAAACATTTTAAAAAGCACTAAAGTGTAAACCCTCGGCGCACTGCGCATGTACGGTACCGCTAATTAATGGGTTGGGCAAAGTGTATGAGTTTACTCGCGGTCTCCACGCTAGTAGCTCGCAGAGAGTCTGACACGGGCTAGCTACAGTAGTAGATAGCACATACACACCCGTTGTTGTTACTTCTTGGGCCTCCAAGGTAAACAGAGCGAGTGGATCAGGTCGGGATAAGCCAAGAGCGATAAAGCATATTGGTTTTTTCGCTTGCACGGCATCTCTCGAACGCAGTCGTTTCATGAAAATCGCAGACAATCATTTTATTTTTCAGGTTCGCGTAGTTCCGAAGCCGTTAGTATCGCTAATACGCCACCTCGTAGCCTGTAGTGCCAGAATAAGCATCGACACAGACAGACAGACACACCAACTACTGCAATCCTCACTACTCATGCGCATGGTTGGACGGTCTCTAACGAGGCGTTTCTATGCACTACTATGCACAAAGGTGGGAGGGCCATTACGCGGTTATGCGCGAACAAGCACGTTGCCAGTCTCCCTGTGTCTCCCTGGGACACAGGAAAACACTGGGAGTCATAGGGAGACACATGGAGACGCAGGGAGTCATAGGGAGACATTGGGAGACTGGGAGTCATAGGGAGACACCTGGAGGCACAGCGAGTCATAGGGAGACTTTGGAGTCATAAGGAGACATACAGGGAATAATAGGGAGACACAGGGAACTGGGGGTCATATGGAGACAGAGGGAGTCATAGGGAGACATTGGGAGACTGAGAGTCATAAGGAGACACAGAGAGTCATAGGGAGACACATGGAGACACAGGGAGTCATAGGGAGACTTGGGAGTCATAAGGAGGCATATGGAGACTGGGGAGTCATAGGGAGACACAGGGAGTCATATGAAGACATTAGGGAGACTGGAGAGTCATAGGGAGACACAGGGAGTCATAGGGAGACACAGGGAGACTGGGGAGTCGTAGGGAGACTGGGAGACACAAGGAGTCATAGGGAGACAAAGGGAATCATAGGAGAATCAGGAGGAAACACCGGGACACTTCAGAGGTGGTGGGATACTCAACATTGGTGTCTTAGAAATGCTAACTTAGGACATTTCATGACAATTACATGAAGTAACAACTGAATTTTGCACCAAAATAATTATTATTGCACACCATAAATATGAAAAGCACTGAAGTGCAAACCCTCGGCGCACTGTGACGCGCACGCGTAAGTAAACGCATGCGCCGTGTAATTGATGGGCTGGGTTAAGTTTTAACTGTTACTCGTGGTCTCTTGCCAGCTCGCGCAGAGTCTGACGCGGGCTAACTACACTACTAGATAGCATGCGAGAGGCGATACACGTCCTGCGTTGCATCTTATGGTGCCTCCGAGGTCCGCAGAGAACGCGGATTGATCAGACCGCGGTAAGCCGTCCCGTCCGTTGTGTATTTGCATATTGACTTTTTCGCGCTGTAGCTCTGCAACGGAGCATTTTCAGAGAAAACCCCACATATTTTCTGACCTTCGTCGCCCGCCAGTAGGTGGTATCCTTTGTGAGACGAACGAACACTCGAGAAGTGAGATGACGAGTAACAGATAGACAGACACACAAACCCAACTACCATAACCCTCGCTGCGCATGCGCGCCGAGAGTTAATGAGTACATTAAAAACGGAAGGGGACACGTTTATATATTTCCTAGAACAATGGGATGCAAAAACATCAAGGAGACAAGACCGGGATGACCTGTACAGTAGGCATCAAGAAATACTTCCAATGAACGGCCCCATGCAACGGAACGGCCATTCCCATTCAACTTCCGTTTCTGCTCCGTTCGCACCCCGTTCACTTTAAGAGGACTGTTTCTCATCCCGTACATGGGGTAAACAATCACTCTGCTGTGTTTTTCTGCGTTTTTCGTAGAGAGAAGCTCTAAATGACATTGCACTCCCCTTACATCTCCAAGCCTTTGCCAAGGACAGGATCGTTGCTAATCGCAGGTGTTCGTACGTTGACTGGTCCAATAAGGGGGCGACAGCCAGGAAGAGGCAAACATTACAGATAGCAGGGCCGCCGGCGATTGTGATTAGGAGACATCGGTTCTCTGGGAGAACGGACATGACACTTTGAAAATCTTCACTTCATTGGAGGTGTATTGGGTGAGCCCTCGGAAAACGAGGTGAGGCTATTTTTGAGACCGTTCTCGCCCCGTTGTGCCCTTGAACAGGCCCCGTTCATGGGAGGTTTTTTTGACACATACTGTACGGGTTGATTTTAAAAACAAAAGGAAGACAAGATATAGGGATGGGATACATGAAGCATGGTTTACGAACAGGTGAGCAGGCTGTTTAATACCTCACCTAGGCAACAATATACATACAGTAGGTACATACGTCCTTAACTTACTGTTCAGTTGCTCGGTCTGCAAAAGATTGGGCGGCACTGCAGTACTTGTAGACACCTGTTGGGATTTGATACAATCACCATTACCCTTAAGCCATAAAATTATTAAACCCACTCAAATTTTGGTGTACAGACTAAAGCTATCAGTTCCTTTTTCCAGGATTTCGGCAATAATTCCTCACAAATACAACCATCAGTCGTGCTGGTTAACATTTTCAAGGCATAGTAGATTTACAGCAGCACGCTAAGGACTCTACTGAATCACCTATAAGATTAAATTAGCTGTGGCAGTCACAAATGTCACTGAGGCACACAGGTTCTTGGTCTTCAGTTTCCTCACAAGTAAATAATATACACAGGTTCAAACATTCTAAAGCTGTACATGCACATACCTGATTAGATGCCCCAGACATCATTCCTACAAAAAAGGAAACCAGGAAAACACAGTTACAATTAATAACCACTAAAGTAAAATCTCTTAAAAGAATGCACGGTACACGTACACATGCGCGGTCGGTAAGGCTAACTGATGGCTGGGCACTACTGTTAATTTTTCGCAGATTCTCACTAGCTTGCTGAGAGTCTAGCTATTCAAAGAGCAGATATCGATACTTGCCACCCTTGTAACTTCTGCTGCATCCGTGGTACACACACATATTCAATACAGTCAAGGTAAACCAATTCACTTGTTAATTTGGTAACACTAAATGCAGAAATTTTCCATTTAGAAAATCAAACCAGGATAGCGCTATTTTTTATGCACGTGGTGTGAGATAACGGGGTAAGACAAACACACATGTTATTAATCCTAGAGAGCACGCTAACTCAATGGCTTTGCGACAATGTAGAACCCGCCTTTGTGCGTAGCACTCATCCAATGTACCAAAAATTTTTATGCTGTGTAGCTAGGCCGGTGATAGTCTCGTCCCCAGGCCTTCTAAGGAAAGGAGGTACAAGAAAGAAATCGCTGTCCTAGATGTAGCTGACTTGCTTGCCTTGCCTTGCCTTTCTACCTCGTTACCAAGTTGTTGAACATGCATTGTACTCGGTTTGGAGTTGGGCGTCTTTAGTGGGTTTAATTACCCCGGTCTGCTCCGACATACTGAGTGAGAGTTTACTGTGCCATAGTACAGTGGTTCGAGGTTTGCCTTGTGTTGTGTTGTGCTACCAGAGTTGGTAGAGCGCTCGCCTAGACTGCAGAGTGTCGTGGGTTCGAACCCCACCCAGGGCAGCACTTTTTCTTTTCTTTGAAAAGAAAGAGCTGTCCTGGGTGTAGTTGACTTGTTTGCCTCGCCTTGCCTTTCTACTGCGTTACCAAGCTCTTGAGACATACATAGCCTTGCTCTAACAGCATGTGCAAATGCGCCAAATACTCCGGATATCTTACAACCCCAGCCAGGGCAGCACTTTTTCTTAGAGCTGTCCTGGGTGTAGTTCACTTGTATGCCTTGCCTTGCCTTTCTACCGCGTTACCAAGCACTTGAGACATACATAGCCTTGCACTAACCGCATGTGCAACTTTGTGTAAATGCGCCAAATACTCCGGATATCTTACGCACTGTAAAACCATCACCAAGCTTGTGGTACATGAGGTCTACGCATTTTGGGGCATTACGGGGCTTTCTTTTGTGCAAAATAACCCTGCCTCAACGAACGATCGTCTTTCATCTTCAGAATGCAAAGCTGACACACGAAAGCAGTAGCTTAAGCATGTATACAGAATACTGAGAATATTTACTGAGGTAACCGGATTCCCCAGATTTTGGGGAATGCTTAAGCATTTAGACACACTGCAGTGTGCATCATAAGTACTTGTTTAGGAGGCCTGGGGATGACCTGTGAATAATTTATTCTTCCAGAACCCCCCACGCAACAAGTCATAATTCTAAAACCATAATTTGTCCTCTGGACAAAATTTCATCAACTAAAATACTGCATACATGCACCAGACATCGCTGTTATATATGTCTCCTATTATACCATCCCTATGATCAATTCTGCGCATTACAACCCACTAGGTGGAAACCAATAGGAACATATTGTCACTCCTGAACAATGACTATGCACTCATTGGTAAAAAGCAGCATGAATTAGTATACAAAAAGCATGCACCAATCGAATCAAAGGGCTAGGGCACGAACCATGGGCCTACCCGAAGCGGTGGGTAGCCTCGATCCCAGGCCTTCTCCCTCCTTTTCGCAAATTATATATGTGGGATCTTTGAACCATGCGCAGAGTTACGGAGGGAGAAGGACTGGAAGACTTTCATCACATGATACGTGGCACGAAAAGCATCATGCGCATAAGCTATACCATTCTACGCTTGACCCACAGTTAAGTATCACGTGTGAAAATCTTCCAAGCCTTTTCCCCCTCCTTCACTTTGCGCATGGTTCAAAGGTCAAGCGTATATAATTTGGAGGGATAAAGGCCTGGAATGGAAGCTAGAGGCGGGGATGTGAACCACTGTAAAAGAAAACTAATGCCGAGCTACAACGTTTTAAACTATGCACGCATCTGTATCAGCGGGGTGGAAACACACAGCAAGGCCATGAAGGCGCTCGATAGTTTCCCTGAGTCAGCATAAAAACAACTACAACGTATCCGGCTCCAACAACCTGAACCACCACAACGTAAGATGGCCAAAATATTTGGTCACCATTTGTAATCCATCCCAATTTACGAACGGAAAAGAGCAACACAAGGCTAGATACGATGATTGTCCCACCATCGCTTATTACACTTCGCTTACAGAGCAAAACTAACAACGATCAGATAGCAGAAAGTTATTCACCTCCACAAAGTGGCGAAGGTTTTCCTTGACTTTGTCAGTGCCGTGTCAGGGCGCGTTCAGGAGCTGGGTAGCCTGCGGTGCTCGGGCAGCTTTTCTCCGCGAAAATTAGCAATACGCATGCGCATTACTGAACGCCCCCCCCGGTCCCCCGGCCCCACACACACACAGCTAGCTAGCTACACTGTATATAATATATACTATATATATATACTAGCTTAGCTATAGCTAATAGATAGCTAGCGCAGCAGCGCTGCCGGCGCGCCGCGCGCAGGGAGGGGGGCGCGGCCGGCCCGACCATTTGCACGCATGCGCAAAGTAGTCTTTTTGAGGGTGTGTCTGATGTCCTACAGCTAGCTAGCTAGCTAGCTCTAGCTGCAGCTTCCCGCCCCCTCCGTGCAGTGCGTGCGGGTGAATCTGTGGTGGTTGGCTCAACTTTCAGTGATGGCTCGCAGTAACGGTGCTAACAGTAAAAGATGCTCCCTGTATACTGATCTGGATCACCTGCGAACTATGTTTGCCTCGGTTGATCCAGCAAACACTGGTTATATTGGCTACCAGGAGTTGAGGTCGCTTGCCCAATCAGGGGCTGGTATGGATGAGGCTATGGTTGCAGTGGTGCTGCAAAAGTTAGACAGAGACAAGGATGGAAAAGTAAGTTTACAACGAACAGAAACTCCGTTCATAACCCCAACCAAAAAATTGAGCGTTGCTGCACTGCTTGTATTTGTGCAACAGCTCTTGGTGGTACCATCATTAATATTCGTCTCCTTGCAGATCAGCTTCGACGATTTTCAAGCTCTTTTTGAATCAGAACGAGAGTCCATCAAAAGGCAGAGGATTGAAAAGTCTAATGCTAGTGGTGGGAATGAAGAACATAAATTGGTGCTGGAAAGTAGCCCTCTGGCTATAGTAGCTTCACCACTTGATGAGAGTACGAAAAATGCTGGTGTATTACTAAGACACAAAAGACCACTACGGTTGCAGAGAGAGGAGCAAAGCCACTCTAGTGGTCTAGAGCTCTCATTTGCGCACATTGGAAGAGGACCTAGGGATGAACTATCGCCAGTAGAACATGGTCAGTATTCTAATCAAGTATATACCTTTTTTTACTGTGTAACAAGTGAATAAATTAATCCTACAAATAAGTATTGAAAAATATAGGGATGGTACAAAAAAAAAGGAAGGAAGACAAATACAGGTATGGTTTATGGACAGATGCAAGCATGCCGACCCCATCACGAAACCCCTATATTGGTGCTTGGGTGCCACTCTTTTATATATCTCCATTTGGACATTTGGACTCTATAACGGTTGTGTTAACTCAGTAGAACAAGAATTGTTAGTACACACCATAGTTGTGCCCTGCATTTTCGCAAGCTATATGTACATTTCTAGTAGGTAAGTCTTGCTATTTATTGCGCGATGGGTTCAGGGGTGTCAGTGTCGCATCTGTTCACAGACCATTCTTCATCTATACCATTCCTGTCTTCTTTCCTTTTTATAACATCCCTTTATTCCTGCAGGATTTTATGTATTTACTTGTCTCCTCATTTTTTATGCACTAATATTTAATTTGCTCTGTTAGATTAGCAAATGCACTCTTTAAGGTACATTATTCAAAAAGTGAGGTAGTTTGAAGATAAAATTCAAAGTTCCTACCGTATGTAATAGTTAATGTACGTCAGTGCTGTGCGCGTAATACTGGTACGAGGGGCGTGGTGGACATAATCATACAGCACGAGGCGCAGCCGAGTGCTGTATGATCTATTGAGACCACGTTCCGAGTACCGTTATCACGTGCACAGCACGTGCTTCCGTACACTAAATATTTATTGTATGTGTGGGCGATTCAAAAGGCGGCGACCAGGAAAACCGGTGTTTTGCACGTTCAGAACGGAAGAGAGGATGAGAAGCTTGCGGAGCGCCCTTCCAGCAGTGGTTTGTGTCACCGTCTAAGTCGAACTCCGTCTACGAAAAGGGCGTTATTCCCGCAAAGCGTACGCTAGTCTACGGATATAGTACAGTTTCTGCGCGATATAGTACAGTTCATTCAAAAACAGTTCTGTATGTTGAATATACAGTACTGATTCGCCCACCCAAAATACAATAATTAGTGATACAGATGTAGCTTCTCACCACTTGAAGTACTCAGATCAATTGCCTCTTTTTTCCAGGTCATGACAAAACCCCTACAGACTGCTTATTTAATAATACTTCAGTGCATATCGCCTTCACCCATGCAACAAACAACAGATCAGTGTTTTTGCCCTGAAGCCAGTGTGTATGAATCATTATGCAAAGATTTCATGGGAAAATCAGCACACCACAGTCTTGCTTAACCTCACTTCAGCACTATGTGTGTTATTATGAACTTTCGGTGGTTTAAACTCACACAGCCTCCTTCTACCCTATGTTCGACACTTGCTATGTTCTGCGTAGTGCTATACTACAAGTAAAGTTTAAAAAATCCTGCGAATTTAAAAAAAGGCATTGAGGGAGATAGGGATTGGATGTACGTACATAAAGCATATTTAACTAACAGATTTGAGCACGCTGACACCCCTGACCCCATCGCACAAGTTCTATATAGTCGTGAAGCATGAGTGTGCTCCTCATAGGATGACTCATTTCCTATAAGCAAGTAATGCATGACTTCAATGTTGGCTCAAATTACAATGCTACGTTGTTTGCTCTCCAGAGAATCCCTTCACCATTGTCCTCACACTTTACATGATAAACAAATCATGGAGTGAGTACAAGTGGCAACAGTATAGGGCGGTGTGGATTAAAATGCACATGAGCGAGCAATGTCAGTTGGAAATATGTAGCCATCATCCATTGTACTACTGCACTAGGTCATCCCAGTCTTGTCTCTTGCTTTTTTTACCATCCCTATATTCACAGAGCATGGCTTCAGGCATGAAATAATATTTCCTAAAACGACTCCGTTCAAGAACTATGGCATTAAAAAAGTGAACAACCCAAAATTTATAGTCAGCACTTTCTTACCTTAACCAGGTGTAGCCCATTGAGTGCACCCTGGAGAGATGGAGTTACTCAGGAGACAAGTATTCAGCCCAGCGTTGCTCTTAACACTATGTACTATGTACTTGCGTGGCATAGCCAATCTTTATGCACATCATCACTGCAAAGCTCGGCAATGGGAATGTTAAGCATTATCTGTATACTGTATTTTTGTTTATATAGATTTAGCAACTCAGATGCAGTACCTTACCAATATTCCAGAGAGCCCTAGATTAAATAGGGCTTCAAAAGTTCTATCATGGATTAGTGAGTCAGAAGACATGTTTGAGGACACGGGTGTCAATGAAGAACAAAGAGATGGGTGTAAGTTGTCATCCATGTATTTTTAGTGGTGTGTTTTACTTGCACGCATGCGCAGTGAGGGTATTAGTTCTTCGTTTGTATATTCAGTTTTTGTATCTGTTACAACATTAAATCTGCCACCACATGCAACAAGACAACAAGAACTTGGTTTAAAAAATTGATGATGGTTATAGGCAAGGAGACAAAACAGGGATGACGTAGCGCATGTAATGCCGTATTACATTGCAGATGATGGCTACATACATACTTTAAACTGACATTGCTTGCTCGTGTAAATCATCTGCCTCCACACAAGCCTTATATTGTCGCAAAGAGTGAGTTGCTTCCTTGTCTATGACAAATTTCCATCCTTAAACAGGTAATGTACAGTTGTTACCCTCTCCTAGGTTTCGAGCTGGGACTGCATTGTGTGCAGTGTAATATTTCCATGGTCCCTCAGCTAACTAATGTTCCATGCTGTGTTATTTGCCTCATTGTCCTTACACCTTACGTCATCCACTTAACAAACTCATTTTGTGAGTAAAAGGCGAAATTATAGGGCTTGTGTGGAGGACGAGCAAGCAATGTCAGTTTGAAGTATTTTAGCCATCACCCATTGTAATACAGCATCACTTCACATGCACTAGGTCATCAACATCCCTGTCTTGTCTCCTATCATCCCTATTTGTCTCCTTCCGTGTTTTTCACCTCCTTCACGTGCAGTGTCTGAAAAAGGGAGCAAACTTCCCATTAACATTAGTGGGCTTATGTTTCTGTTGTTTGTCGTTTACATGTTTACCACTTTCATTGTTAAAAAAACAATCATGAGCAATTTATACCTACAGATGAACCATGTACAAGTTTTTATTGCCTGAGGCTGTAGTTGTTGTACACCTACTTCTTAAATCTCGGTGCACATGCACAGCGAGGGTTACAGTGCTTAGTCTGTCGGTCTGTGTGTCTGCTGTTTGAGAGCAGTTATTCATGCACTACAGGCTACGAGGCGGCTTATTATTGGGCTTCAAAACTAAAATGGGGCGTTTTTCCTGACACAATTGCGTTTCGGGGATATGGCTTGAAACAAGTGAAAAAGCCAATATGCATAATCAGCACTGGCTACACCTCGACTGCCGCACACGCACAGTGTCGAGGGGTTTGTATTTTTTAAATCTGGACGTGTGGATTTCTGTCGCTATACATAAATGCAAAGAACCCCGAGTTAATGAGCATGTGTGTACACATGTACATGTTGGATAGCTTCAACAGATGGTATATTATGCAAAGAGACAAGACAAGGGTGTATGCAGTGGTACTTTGGATGAGTACACACAAGGGTAACTTGCTTTGTACATCGTAGTTCACTAATATTTTCTCACATTTGGAGTTGGGTCATTACCCCAGTCATACTGAGTGAGAGTATTCTGTGCCATAGCATAGCGGTTTTGAGGTTTGCCTTGTATTGAACATTTCAACGTGTACCAGGTGTATTGCCATGGTACATAGCTAAGTTGGTAGAGCACTCGCCTAGACAACAGTGTCATTTGTTCGAATTCCACCTAGGGTAACTCTTCTTTTTTTCTTGGAAATAAAAGAGCTGTCCTGTTTTCCTTGTGGTTCACACATGCACATCTTAAACCAATGTTATAAAAATACATTGCCTGAGGCTATTGTTGATTTTTCGTTTATGGTTGTGTTTTTTAAGCTAAAGATTGGGAATTAGTAGTTCAATACACAACACGCTATAAGGGAGCAGAGCTAGGGGTTGACTGGGCAAGAATGTTGTAACTACTGCGGGATGTTGTAGCTCACACTGCTATAGCACCTTAGTTATTCGTAGTAGTATCAAAAAATGTTGAATATAGGTATGGTATAAAGAGCAAGGAGAAAAGACAGGGATGGCATCGTGTATTTGATGCAGTAGTACAATGGATGATGGCTACATAATATTTTCAAACTAACATTGCTTGCTCGTGTGAGTTTTCCTCACCACAAGCCCTATATAGTCGCGAAGCATGAGTATGCAGAATGACTGATTTCCCAAGCAAGTAATGCAGGTGTTGCCCTCTCTGTCAGCTGCTCAGTTTCGGTTTGGGTACAGTCTTAAGACTTCAATCCTCGGTAGCTAGAGACACGCGATGGTGACTCCGTCTTCTTTATGGTTGTGCGGTCTGTGTGTGCGCGTGGATGATACGTTAATGTTGATTTAGTTTTTATCTTGTTGTATACATGTACATTTTGTTGTGTTTTCTTATTGCATCAGTAGGTTTACTATTTTTGTTGTAATAAACGCCGTCAGCGTCGAGGTGTACTGCGGGATTTAGTAAACCTCGGCTTTGCTATCTGATTGGTCTATTCCAACCTAGGTCATCTAAGCTTGTCTAAGAAGAAGATGATGAACAAACTTCCCTACCATACAAGTAGGTACCATGATCCATCCCTATAATACTACCGTACTTATTGACAAGTTTCAAATAGCCTCATGCTTGTAAATGGTGTTTGTGCCTACAACTTGCTTGTGTTGGTCTTCTTACAAAAAAACTAGGTACACTGATGTACCATGATAATAATTCATCAAACAAGAAATTTCAAGTATGTAAACAACAATAAACAACCCCAGGTAATAAAGATTTGTAAATGGTGTTTGCACTTATAACTTGCATGTGGTTGGTCTTCTAACAATGAAACTTGGTATACGTAATAAGAGTTCATCTTACAGAAATTACAAGTTTGTAAACAACAACAAACAGCTTAAGGCAATAAAAACTTTCTTTTTTTTGTTTTTTGTTTTGCCTTACGGTGAGTTGTCTAACAATGAAATTTGGAACACTTTGGTGAAAAGAACATGTGAAGGGCAGTCTGCTGGTGTTGTAGGCCATACATATGCTTCGAACAAGAGCATTTACAGTCGCCTTTTCAGCCTAAGGCAATAAAATTAATCTTGCATGTGAGTGCAAAAAAAGAAAGGAAAGAAGTGAATACAAAAAAGTGTGGAATATAGAGACGCCATAAACAGCAAGTAGACAAGACAGGGATGACCTAGTTCATGTGATGCAGTAGTAGAATTGATCATTCCATTTTCAAACTGACATTGCTTGCTGGTGTAAATAATTGTCCTCTGCACAAACCCTATATTGTCGCCACTTAAACACGAGTGTCTTTAGTGAATGATGTAGAGTGGGAGGATAAGATTCTGTAGGGGGTTAAGAACGTAACATTTTAAAACTGGTTAGTTGAGCGAACATGGAAGTTCATGGACTACAAAATGCAGTCACGACTCAAAACTGAGGACCTGTCAGAGAGGGCATTAGCTACCTTTCTTGCATGCTTAGGAAACAAGTCATAGCTGCACATCATACAATGTGAGATCACTTGCGACAATGGGGATTGTGTAGAGCACAATATTTACACAAGCAAGCAATGTCAGTTTGAAGATGTAGCTAACTATAATCCATGCATCACATGAACTTGGTCATCCATGTCTTGTCACTTTACTTTTTATGGCATCCCTATATTTCACACTTTTTTAATCCAAAGAATTTTCTATTCACTTGTATTATTAAGAGTCCACTCAACCAGTAATTGCTGGTTATCAAATACGTATGAATTACACCATTCGCGAGTTATAATGATAAACCAAAATAAGGCTGTTTGTTGTTATTTATTGTTGGTGTTTTTAAGCTGTGGTGATTGATATCCTTCTTATATGTAGCTCTTACCGTTTGTGAGTTGCACTACCACAAGTGTGCTCTTAATAATACATTGCCTGGGGCTCTATTTTATTTTTACTGTAAACAGCATTGTACAGAATTCGGGTTTAATTAACCCTCGGCGCGCATGTGCAGCGAGGGTTACAGTAGTTGGTGTGTGTGTGTCTGTGTGTCCACGACTATTCTCGCACTACAGGCTACGAGGCGGCCTAAGAGTGATACCAAACGCTTCAGTGCTACAAGTGCATGAAAATGAAAATGGTGTTTTTTCTGAAACGACTGCGTTCGAGAGATATGCCGTTGAAAAAGCCAATATGCATAATCGCACTGGGCTTACCCCCGTGACCTGATCCGCTAACTCTGTGTACCTTAGGGGCTCAGGAAGTCACAACGAATGGCATGTATTGACTCCCACATGCTATCTACTACTGTAGCCAGCCCGTGTCACACTATCCATGAGGTACTAGTGGCAGACCACGAGTACAAATAACCCAACCCATCAATTAGCAGTATCGCGCATGCGCAGTTTACCGAGGGTTTGCACTTTCGTGTTTTTCATTTGAATGTGAGTTCAATCTTAAGACGAACAAGACTCCTAATCATAGTCCCATACATCTATGATTCTAGGTACCATGTCATTCCCTCTATGAAAGTCTGTGATGCCCTCTGAGGTTACATGTTCTGTTTTCCGTGTAGTGGTTTCTCCGCCTATGTCTCCCAACCGTGTTTCTGCTGATGATGAAATTCATATACTCTCAATCGTTGAAGCTGTGTGTCAAACGCAAGAAATTGGACCTAATGCAGTTGAAAAACTGTGCAGTCATGCTAATGCTGATGAGCAAGAGCAACAGGTGCACAGTAATGCTAGTTATTTTATTGTTACCCTGTATGTGAAGATGGGGATAATGCTCGCACCGTTTCGTGTCCGTATGTGTTGTTCATGTATGGAATATGAAATTATGTACATGTGAGAACTAAATAGCTCATGCTTTCACATGAAGAAAGTAGAAAAAGAGGGAGGGGTGGATGACTCCTAAAGGGCTTCATGAAATTATGTACATATGTATGTGCATCCAAGCAAAAAAACCTTATAAAACCAAGGATTACCTCAGAAATGATAGTGTGTGCTAGGAATCCATACGCCACTACTGAGGTTAAATTAAGGTGATGATGCCCCTAAGTGGGTCGCCCTGGGCATGCGTAATGGACACTCACTAATGGATTACAGAGTTCTTTCAAGTTCCTTGAACTCTATCTAGTTAACCCTCGGTGCACATACGCAGCGAGGGTTACAGTAATTGGTGTGTGTGTGTGTGTGTCTGTCAGCAGATATTCTGGCACTACAAGCTACGAGGCAGCCTATCAGCGATACCAACAGCTGCAGAACTACACAAGCCTGAAAAAGAAGAGAACGATTTTGCTGAAACGACTGCATTCGAGAGCGAGAAACTGGCATGGTCGCGGACCGAGTTCCGTGGCCAAACCCATCAATTAGCTGTGCGTATGCGTATATTACAAGCGTTAGAAATGAGTGGCACGGCTGACCTCGACTGGGTCCGCTCGCTCTGTGTATCTTGAAGGCACAAGAAGTCAACGAAGGGCATGTATCGATTCCCGCATGCTATCTACTGCTGTAGCTAGCCCTTGCCAGACTCTCCATGAGCTAATTGTGGGAGAACCGCATTCTGATAGCCCAACCAATCAATTAGGCATTGCACCTCAGTGCTTTTTCATTCATGTTTGCAATTATAACCTCAGGAGTTGTTGGCACTTATCAGCCACCTAGACAAGGAGGGAAGGGGTTATGTGAGTGTTGACGAATTTGTGGGTGGCCTTCATTCTCTGTGCACCTCAGCCAGTGTGGCATCTTCTTCAACACCTCCTCTTTTTCACCCTCATGGAAAATCACACAGACAGAATGATATGGTACTCTGCTGCCCTACATTTTGTCCCTGTTACAGCATTTTGTCTCTGTTTTTTTTATAATACAGCCAATTCCACAAATGAGTGAACCATTCAGCAGTACTCCAAAGAGTAGCCAAAGGATATTGGCACCTCACACCTCAACACCCCTCCCACTTCACCGCAAAAGTGGTAAGACTACCAAGAAAGTTCCCTCCCACACCTTTTGGAGAGACAACATAATTCATTCTGTTTACTTTACTCTGTGGAATGTGAGCCTAAGACCCACTTTCTTGCAATTCATATTCTATTATAATATTCATTAGTGTGAGGTCATCCTGTGAGTTTGTTAGCAACCTAAACTGGCATTGGCTGAAAACAGGATAGGTGTTGCTGCAAGATATGGATTAGGAAAATTTTTAGTAGGATTTGGATGCATGGATTTCATAATTAATTTTTCAATTTACCCTCGGTGCACATATGCTATAGGGTTGCGGTACTTGGTTCGTAAGTCTGTCTGTCACGCTATGACATGCGCAACAAGGGAAACTAGCTTATTAAGCTTATTAACCCTTGGTGCGCATTCATTTTTATCTGACGCTCAATATGTGGTATTGCATTTGATGGCTCGTGAAGTGAGATGTTGTGGAACGGACTGATTGACTGACAGACACACACGATAACTACAGTAACCCTTGTTGCGCATGCGCGCCGAGGTTTAAAAATTCCTGCATGCCCCTTACATGGCAAAATGTGCAACATGAATTTTTTCTTCCAACATTTTGTTAAAATAACGCTGTATATACAGCATGCGCAACACAATTCCGCACATAGTAAGCACGTGTGCGAAATCTATTCAATGCACATTTTTACCGCTACTGTAGAAATGAATGGACCTGAATCATGAATTGAGGCATTAAAACAAAGCCCAAAAAACAATTTTTGGAGTTTAACAATGTGGCAAGTTACCTTCATTTGGTAATTTACTTACCATGTTTATCAAACTATGGGTTGAATTCTACTACTTCAAGAAACAGAAAAAAGAATGTTATAGACTTTGGTTTAATTCCTTATTAATAATATGTTCACAAGTGCGGGTCCCATACATATCTGTAGGAGCAAAACATTAGATAGAAGTCGGGAAAGCATCCACCCAAACGTGTGCAATTGCATTGTGTGCGTTCCAGCGTTATTAGCAATAATTCCTACATGTCCTGCTCCTTGTACATGTAGCTGACATGCCATGACATTGAATAGGACATACAGGAATTTTTTAAAGTAACGCCATACTGGGAAGAGAGTTTTTGCTTTAGTGCTTTCGAACTCCTTTTTTCTTCAGCACTCAAAGGCGATTCATCACAATTGACTGTCTTGGATCCACAAAACTCAGGGTCAGTTTGAAATCTATTGTGAAACTCATTCACCAGGGTTGCACACTACAGGTTTGTGGCAGTGGATACTTTAGCCCAGCAGTGGCACAGAATGGGAGTTGAGCCACCGCATGATCAGAGCCTGGAGGAAGCCCTTAGAGAAGTACTATAGTCCTAATGCCACTATTTCCATCTTAACAATTACATTTCAGTCTCTACCAGTGGATGCATCACAACGTGTCAGTGTATCTGAAGTTGCTAGCACTTTAGAGACAGTGGTGTTGAATGAAAACCAAAATCATAGTAAGTATCCAAGCACGTTGCTAATTCTCTTTGGCTTATGTGATAAGCTTTTTATTCCTACAGTACTACGTCAAGCTGCATTACTTACATACAAGGCAGAAATAAATCAGCTAAGATCCCAATTGCATCAGGTTGTCAACAACAGAGTTTTAAAAACAAAATAGAATATATTTTCAACATATAGGTCTTAATGGAGAGAGATGGGCTGCAATCTAATCTTCAGCGGACCACAGAGGAAAACAAGCGTCTTGTGCAGGAGGGTGATGAACAAGTTGAAAAGATCACAAGAGAATCTGAAAAAAAAGCCAGGTGTGGCTAAATTATATATATAAGCACACAGGGTTATGGATATAGAGCTTGTATCTTTGAACAAAGGTGTGTTAATTTACAGTTGAAGACTAATCTTTCTCTGAATGAAACAGTGACAAGTTTATGAACAAGTTCTTAGTTTGTGTAGCATCAGAACGCCTTTCCTGTTTACACAGCGTTTCACACACAATTATTATTACCCTTTAAACGTGTAAACAGAGAACACCTTGGTTCTGAGGCTAGGTTTGTGTGTGTGTTTTTGTCTGTCTGCTACTATTAGTTATAGGCTACCAGGTAACCAATGAGTGATATCAACGACCATGTCATGCATGAATTTTGAAACGGCGATATTCGTAAAACCACTTCATTTGAGAGTTATGGCATTTATTACACGAAAAAGATCCATTATGCAAATAAGCACAGGCTTAAGTAATATAATCAGGTTTTGCCTGCTCAGCACACCTTTGTGGCGAAGGACCAGTATCTAGTCTAGCATTATAGTGATATAGATAATGTAGCCAGCCAATGTTAGAGGGAAAACTTTACTTTAATCAATGAGTTACGATGCGTGGCATAGTTATACCATAATGATGTATGTGTTTATTAACACTCGCTGCGTATGCACGCTGAGAGTTTCGGTACATTGGGTGTCTGTCTATCACTTTTTCGCCACCGCCCACAACAAGTCAGCAAACGGGTGACACCAAAAGCCTCAGTGGTACAGGCTTGATGGCAATTTGTGAAGAAACGCTGCATTTAAAATATTACAGCGCAAAAACCAAAGCCAATATACAAATTATAAGTGACCCTCCTCAACTGCCTCGGCTTAGTTGTGTACTGTGAAGGCAATGTCGAGTGTAGTGTTTAGAGTCTTGTGAGTAGCTATCCCATGTCAGGCCCTCAGAGAGCTAGTAAGAAAAAACCGTGTGTAAATCGACACTGTATCCTAGCTAGCGAAAGAAATTGGCTCCTTACTGGCCACACCCGCAACCCATGTGCACATCTGCAACGAAAAAATGACTAAGTCCCAAAGGATCTTAAAATTGCAAACGATAGCTAAATTAAAAATCCTGCTAATTTAAATAAAGAGGCATATAGGGATGATAAAAAGAAATGGAGACAAGATAGGGATGGGATACATGAAGTATGGTTAATGAACAGATTTGAGCACGCTGACACCCCCAACCCAATCACACAATCCCTACGTATAACAAATCCTGCGAATTAAAAAGAGGCATATAGGGATGGTATAAAAAGAAAGGGAGACAAGATAGGGATGGGATACATGAAGCATGGTTAATGAACAGATTTGAGTACGCTGACACCCCCAACCCCATCAAACAATCCCTATATTGTTGCCTGGTGTGCTACACTTATAGGGGCTAAAGGTTACTAAAAGCAAGCATTCTTTCACCGTGTCCCTGTTGTTTTTAGTAACTATACTGCCAGATTCCCTTAAAACTCCATTTGGACTCTATAACGGTGTTGGTTACTCAGTAGCATGACTTTTTTGTATTATAAGGTATGAGTATTGTTAGGAGAATGTTTAATACTTCACCTTCACCTAGGCAACAATATAGGGATTGTGTGATGGGGTTGGGGGTGTCAGCGTACTCAAATCTGTTCATTAACCATGCTTCATGTATCCCATCCCGATCTTGTCTCCCTTTCTTTTTATACCATCCCTATATTCGCAGGATTTTTTATTTACTTGTCTCCACTCATTTTTATATACTACTACGTATATCTCTGTGAAAGGGGGCAAGCCCCCTATAATAATTAATAATAGAGAAAAATGCCTGTTGTCGTCATGAAAATGATGTCATACGCATTCGTACCAAGTTTGATCTCCATGAGTGATACTATTAGCAAGTTTTATTTGAACAATATGTAGTCGTCATAGAAACATGTAGTTGTCATGAATACGCATGTGTACCAAGTTTCATCTCCATGTGTGGTACCTTTTGAAACAATATGCGGTCATCACGTACTTAGTGATATCGACATCCTGTGAACCACTCCGGACTACTACAGCGAAGATTTACGATGGAGAATGGAATGGCAACATTTAGCATACAGCCATGAGCAAGTGGCTAGAAACCTCGGGGTGGATAAATCTACTGTATCATGCAATCTCCAGCTCTTAAACAACACCGGAACAATCACAAAGAAAGCCTCCCCAAGGGATAAAGCACATAAGAAGCTAACTATCCCAGCCCAGCTTCTTTTTTTGAATTTAGTTGTCCAAAAGCCTGGTATATACCTGAGAGAAATTCAAGAGGAGTTGCATAAGATGCTGTTGCTAAATGTTGACACTGCAAGTATTTGTAGATTTATTGGTTTCACCCACCAGAAGCTTTGCCTAGTTGCAAAGCAAAGGGGTGAATTTACTCGACAGCAGTTTGCCTTGGGTGTTTCCCTTTACAAGCTGGAGATGCTGGCATTTCTTGGCAAGACGGTACAGATCATAGAAACACTATGCCTACAGCATGCAAGAGATCCCATTGAAGCAACAAAAATTACTCGTCAGAGGGGAGCATGTTACTGCTATATCCCTCATGTCTTTTAATGGCCTTCTTGATGTCAAAACTTCAATGGGAACTACTGATGAAAAGATACCTTCTATGTGTTTGTACATAAACATCTCCAGTAAAATGTATGAGACTTGATCCTTGGGACTTGATCCGTCTTTAAAGGGCAGAGAATGCTTTGCTTTTGCTATGCGTACTGTGCTTCTGTAACAACACCATCCTGAAGTAATTGCTATAAATATTGCAGTTGCTCAAAATATTTCATCCGCAGTTTACAGATTTTGTGGGGGGCAAAGTAGGGGTAGTAGTGGGTTAGTAGGAGTCTCTCCGCCCAAAGCCTTCATAATAAATACTACTGCTCCACTTATGGCACCGGAGAATGAGTCACTCTGGCGAGGTCTCTTAGGAGCACTCCCAAAGGCTGGAATACTAGGAGGAGTGTCTAGATCTTCGTGCCAATTAGCTGTAACTATTTGAGCCCAGTAGCCTCAGCTGAGGTGTGTGTACTCTACATTTCACCGTGTCTCTCTTTGAGATCATGGTAACCACTTTATTCTCCTTTTCTTGTCGCTTTGAATATGCTTCTTCTCTCTTACGTTTCATTCGGCGCCCTTCATTTCCTTCCACCACTCTGCCATAACACCAAATTGTAATGAGTCCTGAAGTATACTTGCTGTACATTGCATGCAAATCATCTTGTGGCATTATCCAGACTTTTGAGTGATGTGCTCCTTCAAAATAACCGAACTAAAAGTCATTGAATCAGGGACTTGATCCATCAGCTCTTCTATAAGCTTAGCACACAAATCAACTACGGAACGAAACCTTCCCCTTAAGTTATGCAATTGCCTAACCACTATCTCATTCTTTTTCTTAGGATTAATAATCTTGACTCTATAAGAGTGCTGAGGCTGGAAAAGAAAGAAAGATAATTTTACCCAAACAGGATTTGTTTATCTATGCACGTTTGTGGGTGGAGTTTTGGGGGGGACTGGCAAGCGCACCTATTGCCTCACCTGAGCATGGGATGTCGCAGCAGGAGATTGACAAGGCAAACCCTGTACGGTAACAAACCTATTGCATCCAGCAGCCACGTGTGTAACAGGACGAAAAGCAATGTTGTCCTCAGATCGGTCATGGCTCTATCCAGCTTGTGAAGATGAGCTGGCTGATTTTATGTGCATGTGTTAACTGGCGTGTTGCTCGGCATGCCTCTCCCGGTGCAAAAACGTTGCAATTTCCTGTAACCCTCATCGCGCTTCGAAATCATGTGCATGCTCCAGCAAAAACACTGACATGACGAATGCGCGCCAGAATAGCCAGCTGGCGTGCTCTCGTGCGCAATCGATCACACACTGCACTCGCGTACATGCATGTTGGATTTTTTACTTGTTTTCGCCATATCTCTGGAACACAGTCGTTTCAGGAAAGTCGCCTCTTTGATTTTCATGTTTATGTAGCCCTGAAGGTGCTGGTATTGCTCATAGGCCGCTTCATAGCCTGTAGTGCGAGAATGAGCGTAGAAAGACAAACAGACATAAGTACTGTAACCCTCGCTGTGCTTGTGCGCCGAGGGTTAATAAGTACAACAGATTACTTTTACAAGTTTGAGAGTTAAGATAATATGCAAAATGAGAGTGCAAACCCTCGGTGCACTGCGCATGCACGGTACCACTAACTGATTGGCTGGGCTATCAGCATGTGTTTACTTGTGGTCTTCCGCTTGTAGCTCACTGAGAGTCTGACACGGGCTAGCTACACTGAGTAGATCACATGTGTGAGCCGATACACGCCCTCCATTGAGGAGGGGCTAATTAGAGATAGCAAACGCATTTCTACACCAATTTAAACCTGGATGTTTACATTTAAGACGATAACTTAGCGTACTTTTTAAGTTGAATTCTACTATGTCAAGGACAAGATAAACATTTTTCAGTTTCTATTCATGAGTTTCGGTCCTATGGGATGGGGAAAACGTGCACTTGTTGCGCACGCATCCACACATATATAGTACGTCCTGTTCCTGATTTTTTTTGCTTTGAAAAATTTTTTAAACTAATACTGTGAAAAAGGACAGGATGCATCCGCGACTTCGATTAAATATGTATTTTTCTGCTCCTAGAGAAATTTATGGGACCCGACCCGAACTCATGAAAAGACTGATGAGGCATTAAAACAATAATAATAATAATAATAATACTCAGGTGGCTGCCATAGCACTAGAGCCATAGACCACGCACCCAGAGCAATGGGCGGAACCGTTAACATATGAACATACACCATATGAACATGAGGTGTCTGTCTCACCTCCCAGACACCTCAACTCACCCCTTCCACCATCGACACCCTGCAGCTCCCCAGACGCAATCTGAGACTGGGTCTGTTGTACGCGGCCGTATAACCTAACCTTTCTTAGCTCCCAAACATCTAAAATAAAACCTTTGCCAAGCAAGGCCACGCAAAGATTATCCTCCCACAGCTCACTACCGAATATAAAGGATGCTTTCCTGAAACTATCAAGCGACTGGAAATGCTCAAACCCATCATCCCCAAGCTTCCCTGCAGGGCAACTAAGAAATTGCTCCTAAGACTACTATATGCTGGACACTCCCACAACACATTACTCACACTTTCACACTCATCATCACAAAACAGCCACTCCTTCATACCCTCCCTCCCCCTATGCCTACCCAGTTCCTTATTTAGCCCATGCGTGCCTGACCTGAACTTAAACATTAATCTAGATCCAGCATCACTTTTCCCATGCAAGTACTTTTTGAACTCTACCACCTTCTTAAATTTATTATACAACAACAGCTTTACTTTGCTATTTAGCCCCTCTTCAAACTTTCTAATCTCCCTCTCATTAATACTGTCCCCTACTATAGACAGAAAGCCCTTCAAGGGGCAATCCCCATTTTGAATATCATGCAACCACTCTGCCTTGTCAAGACCTAATGACGAAAAGAGATCATCGATGACCTTACTCCAACACTTCCTCTGCTTGCCTCTCCGTGGCTTAAAATTTCATTCCTGGTTAAAAGGCTTCTTCGGATACCTATTGCCTGGCAATGCCACTAACTTATACCACCACTTCAACTTATTCTTATCCCTACGCCCTTGTAACGCATCAAGCCCCATATCCCCCCTAACGGCTTCATTACATGTCTTAGACGAACACCCAAGGATATGCTTAGCTCCTCTCAGCATCACGGACTCTAACACAGCTGCCTGAGTCTTATTGGCTTCCCACACCTCACTCCCTTACTCTAAAGTTGGCCTAACCACCGCCAACAACAACAACCTGCGAGCACTCAAATCAATATCCCTATTACTAATTACACTATGCAACTGATTAACCTTCCTTCTACCATTGTCTAACACATTCTTGATATGCACATCCCATGCACCAGTACCAGTAAAATCACCCAAGTATATGTATTTAGATACTCTAGGCAAACATACTCCCCCCATTTCCAAGCACCATCCACTGACTCCCTAGCGAACACCATCACTGCACTCTTACTCACATTAGCCTTTAGCCTCCATTTCCGACAGTACGCATGCACCACTCTATAAGCGTCTGTAACTTATCCTATGACTCACATAACACAACGACGTCATTGAAAACAAAGGCCTCTCAAGTCTCCACCACTACTACTTAAATAAATCAATCCAATCTCAGCTTCCTCCACCTCCTCAACACCCATTGATAATA